AAAATTTTTATGTCAAAAAAAACATGACTTACATCTAAAATATTTATAATATATCTATTATTCAATATTTATTTATTAACATCAAATATAATAGTATCAAAAATAAAAGATCTTACAAATCTTATAGAAAAAAAAAATATAATTTATAAATAGTATTTCTATCTAATTATTAAATTTTATTATTAAATTTTGTCTATTAAAATTCTTTCTTTATTCTAAAAATTATATAGAAATTAATAAGAATAAAATTTAATTATTTGGCAGAAAGAATTTGGAGAAAAAGAAAGAATATGTATGTTAAAAATAAAATAGAATAAAATTGAAAAACATAAAAAAGGTTTCTATTATAGGGCCTTTTTAATTTAAAAATTCAAAATTTAATATTAATGGAATTGCTAATATTTGAGTGATACATCAATTTCTTTAATAAAAATTTGAAAAAATTGAATATTATTAATAATTTTGTCTTCCAGAGACAATATTTCAAAACACAAAATTAAAAAATATAAATAGAATTTCATAATGATATTAAAATGTTTTTAGATTGATCATCATTATATAATCTAAAATCAAAATTAAAAACATATAATCTTTGATAAAAAAATATACACCAATTATCAGCAAATAAAACAGCATTTTTTGATAATTTATGAGAGTATATCATCAAGAATAAGATTAATTATAAAATAAATGGATTATTTTCTTAGATAACTTAAAAATATGAAATATGAAAAAAATAGAAATGTCTAATCAATTTTGTCTATATTGCATTGTTCAATTTTAGTTTATAATATAATATTTATTAATATATAATAATTATATAAAAAAAAAACATAAGAAAATCATAATTTAAATTAAAAATTTCACATTTTTTTTTAATTGCCCACTCTCTCAAATATTTGAATGTATGTTAAAATTTTAAACAATATATATTAAACTTAAATTTTAAAAATAATATTATAGCTGATAAAATACTATAATATAAAATATATAATATATATGATTATATATTATATATATAAAATATATTAAAATTATATTAGATTTTTTGAAGTATTCATGTGATAAAAATATACGAAAATGGCATCATAAAAATATATGAATATGTATTAATCAAATAAATATTCTATTAGAAAATATAAATATAAATATTGATAGATTACAATATAAAAATATCGTAATGAATTTCATATTGAGATATTTTTTTATCAATTTTGTTTTGCTATGAATTATATTATTTTATGTATAAAATGATAAATTATGTAAATTATATAATCGAAAATTTAATATATGCAAAATCAAAAAATTAAAAAAAAAAGATTTTTGTAATATGTTTAATATTTATGCTTTTTATACTAATATCAGCTAAAATTAAAAAATTTTAAACTTTATGATATGTTCATTGAATTAGATAAATAAGATAATTCAATTAATATTCTAATTCTGAAAAAAATATATGTGTATAATATTATACAAAAAATATCTTACGTAATAATTCACTATCATTATCAAATACATAATACAATATTTATTTTATACTAAATAAATATTTTAAGATATTTGTTAATAATAAGTTCATGATTATTCTTTTAATGATCTTAATTATTTAATTATTTCACAAATGACAGCCATACACTATATAATTTATTAAATATTTTTTAATAAAATCAATTAAAAATCACATAAAATAAATGCTTAAATTGATTCTTAAATATTTTACTCAATGAATAAATTTTTTAAATCTATTATATTCTATTAATTATATATATATTAACTACATTTTGTACAAAATTAAGTTTATTTTATTATATATTATAAAAAATAATAAAATTACATTATTTAATTTTTATAATAGATTTATTTATATAATTTACTCTAACATCAATTTATTATTTTTATTATATTTATAAATATAATTACAACTAATTTTAAATTTTTTTCAGAACAAAACTTTATATACTTTATATATAAAATAAAATAATATAAAATATAATATAATATAATATAAAATAAAATATATATAAAACTTTATATATATTTTCTAAATATCCATTTATTGAAATATTATTGAAATTATAATTTATTGATATATATTTAAAAAAAAATAATTAAAATTTATATTTTTCTTTTAAAATAATATTTATTATAATTTTTTATTTTATAAAATAAATAATATAAAATATCTAAACAACAAAATAATTGTAATTATTTAATATTAATTGAAAATGTTCTTTTTTAAATATCATATCATTTTAATTATCTTATATTATTTATGTTATATATTAAAATATATTAAATAGTAATAAATTAAAAAATTTTATTACAATAAATGAATTTAATGATAATCCGAAATGATTTTTTATATTGATATAATTATATTAATATTTTGATAATATATTTTTGCATAAACTTAATCTGACTATTTTTGACTGTTTAGTTATTTTACTATTGATATAATAAAAGAATATATATAAATAAAAGAATATAAATAAATTATAGTGAAATCATATGATATTATAATAAAATATGTATAAATTAGTAAAAAAATATTTATATTGTATAAGAAATATTAATAAGCATAAGAAAATATCAATAAAATATTATTAAGATTTTACATATATATATATATATATATATATATATATATATTATTTTTTATATCTAAATATAAAAATAAAATAAAAAATGAAAATTATAAATTTTAAAAATCATATAAAAAACAAATAATATAAAATTATAATATTATATATAGCATTATATTTTTACTCAAAGTAAAAAATCCAGAATAATGTTTGCACTACAATTTTTTATTTATACAATTTTTATAAATAAATTTTTAATATTATGAATATAGTTATAATAAAAAATAATAAAAAATATTAACCTTGTTGTATAATATAAAATGATACATAGATGCAACAAAAGTAAAAAATAAATAATTTTAGCATACCTCAGATTTATAACGAAAAAGTTTGAAGAAGATGTCAAGTCTTTTAACGTAAATTTTCCGTGGTAACTTGCTAGCTGTATTCATTTATTTATCAAGTAGAGGGGATATTAATGCATAACTATACGGAGGTGTATAGGTTAGGTTATGTCATCTGTTGTTAGAAAACGTAGAACATATTTCTTACAGCCATAGCAGAACACGGATGATTCAGTACACAATAGACAATTGATACGACAATCAATTTCTAAATTGTATAGTCATCTAATTATATTTATTATATTTATATATCTCAATAAAACACATATCAATGAAACACATCAAATAATTGGATAATGATATAAACGACGTATTTAAATTTAGATAAATTTAGATTAGACAAAAAAAAGAATTTATATGAATATCTTATTTAATAAAAATTTTTAATGTATAATTATTTTCTAAAAAAAAATATAAATATATTTCATTATAACTATTTAATTCATTAACAATTTTTATTAAAATTTATAATTTTTAAATAATTATATATTATATAATAATAAATTATATATAATAAATAATTATATATAAAATAAATTATATTTATTTTATTAATTTATTATTGAAAAGAAATATAAGTATATAGACATTTTTCAAATTTTAATTTAATAAGTAAAAAAAAAAAAATATTGTGAATCGCTAATAAGTTTATTACATTTGAATGATATTATCTCTTTTATATTAATATTATTATTATTTTCGAAACATATAATAATTTGTAAAACTATAATCATAATTTTAAATAACCTTATAGAAAAAAAATTAAGTAAAAATAATTAATTCATTTCTTCGTCAAATTTAGCATTTAATCCTTTATCAAATTCAATATCTAATCGCGTGATAATTAATTTCAAAAATCACTTTGCATTCGTATAAGAATAATAACTATATAATAACTATTTCATATTATATTTTTTTTAAATTTAGAAAAAAAAATTGAAATTATATTATTTCTCTATTAATTTTTATATCATTATTCTTATTTTAATTTTTTTTTATGTCTATCAATGTTAAATTTTGTAGCTAATATTATAATACATTACTTTATATAATATATTATATAAAGTAAATCATTTCTAAATCATTTTGTACTTATTTAATTTATTTATTTTTTTATTTAAAATATATTTTAATAAAATCAAAATATTTTCTTATATAAAAAACAGAAAATTACTAAATTATTATTATTATTATATTATTATTATTTAATTGTAAATTATCTTTATAAATAATGATAAATAATCACTCTTTATTATACATGAAAAAAGTATGATAAAAGTAAATAAATTATTTACTTTTAAAACTAATAAAAATATAATAATATAAAATTTTTATTTATTTATAATATATAAATATATTATAGTATTATATATAAATATATAGTATTTACGAGCAAAAATATTGATACAAATCAAAATTTAGCATAAAAACTTATATAAACTTGAAGAAAAGGCAATTTTATAAAATATTTAATTTAAAAAATATTTAATCTTCTTTTTTATTTACACTATAAATTGATTGAAAAATTAGAAAAATATAATTTCAAGAAAATTCATAATGGTTGATTTTTGAGTAAAATTTTCTTAGAATTATAGATATAATATATAGATTATAAATAAAAAATAATATAATTATAGATAAAAAAAAAATTTTAAATATGCATTGATAATTCAATAAATTATCTTGAAATAAAAAAAATTTCTACTAAAAAAAACTCTTTGATTAAATATATAATAATAAATATGATAATATAATGATAAATATATAATTTTTAAATTAATATTAATAATTAATAATCATTTAAGACAATTTATAAACCATAAAAATAGAAACATTGCATTCATTTCATTCATTCATACTTTAGCAATCAATTAAGCATTTTATAAAATTTTTTATTATACAGTTGAGTTTAGATTTTTGCAAATTTGACAATTCTTAGCAACATGATTCAATTTTAATGATGAATTAAATCAATAGTGATGAAAATCGGGATAATAATAATAATAATAGTTTATACGTTATATATTGTATTATTTTATTACTTGAATATGTAAATAAAATGTTTTATAATTCAAAGACATCATACATGATTTTGAACATGATGTAATAAAATCATAAATTTTATATATCTTTATTTTTCTGTTAATTATATTTTTAAAAGTTCGTGTTGCAATTTTTAATATATGATTTTTGGGAAATATCTTCTTTTAAGTTTTGCAGCTAATATTATAATACATTATATAAACTAAATAATGAAATTTTCACTGAATCAACGAAAAAAATTAAAAATAAAAAAACATTAATATTACATACTAAGATAGCCATGAGCTTGATTTCGACGACGACCAATCAAGTACGCGATCAATACTATAATCACTAATCCTGCCAGTGCACAGCCTACAGCTATTGGTACGACGTCTGGTGTATCAAAAGCGCAATCTTTGGCTGTAAAATAATAAAAAATAATTATTAATAAATATTATTGATTTAATTAAATTTTTACATTTTCATTACCTATAAATTAGAAATTAAACAAAATTTAAAATTTAAAATTAATAAGCTATGACATAATAGTAACAGTAATTGTAACTTATTTTTTTATATAAATTAAAAAAGTATATTTAAATGTATAGTACAAATATAAAAATTAATTTTTTAAATACATACAATTATACTGAATATTGAACTCATTACCTAAACCAAACACAGTAGAATTATCAACTTTGAATGCTTGAAATTGTAGTCCTGATACAATTAAATAGCCAGATGTCTCATTACTATTATTCTGTTTTAAGTTGAGCGTTTGTTGTTTTAAACATCTATAAGAATTGGATAGTCTAACTTCAAAATCAGGTGTTTCATGTACTAAAGATACTGATCCATCTATTAAGAAATATATAATTACATATATATATATATAAGAATATATAATTATATATTAAAATATTTGTTATTTATATAAGTTTTCATTAAATTTTACGAAATATTGAATATCTAACAATATAACTATTGATTAATGTTATAAAATATAAAATATTCCTTTTTAATATTTTTCATTTAAAATATTATAATTTAAAGAAAAGATTTGATTTGATCAAGGTTTTCAAGACAATTTGGAAATTATCTTATATATTTATATTTATTTTTTATATTTTTTAAATTATCTTTTTATATTGAAATAATTTTTTTTATATATTAAATAGTTTTTGACATATTAAAAAAAAATTTTTTTTATTTATTAAAAATTTAATTTTATTTTTTTTAATAAAATCTTTAATGAAATTTAATTTTACTTTTAAAATATTAATGTTATTTACATAAAAATACAAAAATATGAATTATCTTATATTAAAAAGTTAAAAAAATTAATATATATCCTATTATTTTTTAAGAATATAGTATAGATATATAAAAATATTTCTTTTTTAAAATGTTATTAATAATAAAATATATTTCTTACTCAGTTTTAAATTTGAAGGAAAATCTGATGCTGGAAGAAAAACTTCCAAATGATGAAGAGAATAATCATTTTCAGTTGCATTTTTCATAAAATGCAATGTCATACTACCATTAGTTATATTTTTAGCAGACCATTCTAATGTCAAATTTTGTTCCAATTTGCCACAATATCCACTTGCTTTCGTAGTAACATTGTCTGTTGGCATATCGAATGTTATAAAAGATGTCTGAAAAATTAATTTTTTATATTAATAATAATAATTTAATATTGAATCATAATTTTGAAATATTAAAACTATAAGTATTCGAGATTAATATAATACAAATGAATATCTAAAAATGAAAATTGATTATGTGACAGAAATATGCAAAATAAAGAAATTTTAAATACATAATAAGCAAATGCTGAAATTACAAAAGCGAGTAATAACCAATATTCTTTACAAATATTTCAAAGATACACAATTCTATGATAACAAGAAGTTAAAAAAATTCATTTAATGTGAATTGATAGACTTTTTTGCCAGACATAAAACGTATATAACATTTATAAATATATGTAATAATATAATATAAATATATGTAATAATATTATTTTGTAATATATATTTTTTATTTTCATTAAATTTATTCAAGCATAATGAATCTAATTTTTTAGCACGATTTCGAATTCGACATTCTATATTATTCTATATAAATCATATTTGAAGACACAATGTAAAATATAATTTTTATTAGGATGTTCAAAACTTTATCATAATGTTTAATATATAATAATATAGTTTAATATAATAGTTATTTTGAATTAAAAATTGTAATAGATTATATATAATATATTAGTGATATATAAATGATATATAATAGATTATATACTTAGTTCATTCTTTATAGATCTATCAAAAATTTTACATAATTTTTATGTATTTCTTAATTTTTTTTTTTTTTTTACTTTTATATTGATTCTAAAGAAGATATTGAAAGTAAAAATAAACAATACATAATATTACAATAATAGTACAATAAATGTGATAATCCATAGCAATGAACTTTTATATATTAGCAATATTTATTATATCAAATGTGAGAAAAATCAAATAACATATATAAATTTTTTTTTAAATAACTAATAAATTAGAATTAGTATTATATAAATAATCATACATATGAAATACATGAATATAATGTATGTAATTATTAAAATATTTTTAATATAAATTTTTTTTTTATTTTTCTTGAAATGAAATATAAACAGTTGTATAATGTTCAAAACAATTGAAAAATAAAAAAAGTAATTTTTTATATATTTATATATTTGTCATATTTTAGTTTTATCATTATTATACAACATGTATATATATTTTAAATAATATATAGAATTTAACATGAATCAATCGATATTTAAATTAAATTTGATAATTTAACATAATTGAAAAATTAAATAAAAATTTATCGATATTAAGTAAAAAATTGATATAAAGAAAAATTTTAAAAATTTTATTTTTTACATAAAAATTTAAAAGTAATTTTATATTTTCTTGTATTATATATTTTTCTGTTTATATTTTTAAAATACACAAAATAAAATATTCGAAATAATTAAATGACAAATCTATTCAAATAAACGATTTTTCGAATGATTGGTTAGAAAGCATCAAATTTGTCAATTAAAAATTAAAATAAAAAAATTTTTAAATATATAAATAGAAAATATAGATGAGATATTATGTACAAAAATGTACATCTAATAAAAAAAATTAACTACAAAAAACAAATTAATCAATTTCAGATACTGTTCTAGAAATTTAGTATTTTAGTACATATACAATATCATAAATTATTTTACACATACAATATCATAAATTATTTTAATTCTTAATAGGTATATATATTATCTCTGATATGCCATTTTTATATAAGCAATAATGTTTGGTAATTTTAATTTTATTAATAAATAATGAAATCCAATAATTGATCGCTGGTATATTTATAACTTATATTTCTATGATATGTTTATATTAATTGGTGATAAACTATAAAATTCTACATTTCATACAAACCTCATTATTAACGTTGATATAAGAGATATTAAACATCACAGACATCTGTACTACAATACAAATTTGATCTGTTCCATTAACAACTGTCCATTTACCAGTTGTGTAAGAAGACAAGGTAGAATTTACTGGAGCATGTATAACTATTGGATTAGTTATATACGAAATTTTTTTAGATGTTTCATTTGTAAAAATTGGGATAGCTGTCATATCTAATGGCATGATAGTAGAATGATTGGAAATAATTGTAGAAGTTTGAAAAGAATTTTTAATAACTTCTTGTGGCTTTATTTTATTCTTGTTTGTGTCTGAAATAATTCCTAAATCTGTCAAGGAAATATTCTTATCTGATAGAATATTTGTTTTTAAATGTTCAGAATCATTTTGTAAAGATGTCCTGGGAGAAGTGAGAAGAGCATCATTCTTTTTAGATAAAACATTTTCCTGGTCTTCACCTGTTTTAATATTAAAATTAAATTAAATTAATTAATTATTTATATGTATATATACATACAAAATAAAATTTTTTCATTTTAATTCATTTTTTTTTTAATTTTTTCAAATTTTTTCATTTTAATTTTTTTTTCAAATTTAAAAATTTAATAATTGAATATCTAATTAATATTTTGATTAATAAGATTGTAAAGTTTCCACTTTTCATTAATTATTATCATTTATTATATTTAATGTAAAGATAATTTTTTTATAAATCATATTTTATTTTATTTTTATTATATTTTATTATATTTATTTTATTTTATTTCATTATTTATATCATATTATATATTATATTAATTATATTTGCAGAATCTTTTTATATGAATGAGATAATATAATAGATTCATAAAAGTTGAACTTTGATTAGCTAATATTATATTAATAATTATATTATATTAATATATTATAATATATTAATACATAGTATATATGTTAGTATATATATGTGTTAAAACAAATCACATTTAATATTCTTTTTGTATTGAATTTGTATTATGTTTGAATCAGTTTTATGGATCATTTTTTCTCTTTTAGAATATACAAAATTATTTTAAAAAATAAATAATAAGTTATCATTATTATAAATTAAATATTTATTAATACATTTATTATTAATAATTATATATAAAATATATATATATAAACTTATACTTTCTGATATCTATATCTTTTCAAAAAAATATAATAATCTGACAAAATTTAAAAATTGAACAATCAAAAATAAAAGATTATAATTTAAATCATTAGAATGGCGTAATATAAATATAATTAACTATTAAAAACAATGACTTCGGAAAGCCATAGTCTAGCTTAAAATAATTTTGGAATATTAATTAAAATGAATAATATTAGTGGCTAATAGAAAAGAATCTATTTTTCTATATTTTTTCGTAAATATAAACACATAAATTTTACATTTAAGGATTTAATTATTGCATGAACTTTAATTTTTTTTATAATGTCATATTATTTATTGTTTTAAAACCATAGATATTAGTAATATATGACTAATATATGACTAATTATAGTCATAATAATAATATATATTAAAATACAACTTATATTATACATATATGTAACTTATACATGTATATATATATGAATTTTTGATATTAAAAATTTTTTATTAATTTATATATAAATTTTTATAGTACTAAAAAATGAACAATCATGTTAATTTTTTTTTATGTAAGAACTTAATTTAGATATTCAAAAGTTTTATTTTTGGTGATCTAATAAAATAATGTGATTATATATGTAAATTATAGCAAATAAATAGCAAAATTAATGAAAAATAGAAAAAATAATTTAAAATATCATATTTTTATTTAAAAATATTTTAATTTAAACAATAATTTTAATAAATCATATTAATAATCTTAAATATCTTATTATTATATCTTTAATTTTTCAAATTCTATTATAAATGATAATATTTTATAAAGAAACTATATATATTTTCAATATATTAAAAACACTGGTGAAATAATGTATAATGAAGATTAAAAAATTCTAATTAAATCATAAATTTATAAGTAATATATAACTATAATAAGAAGTTTCATAAAAAATGATTTTATTTATTATATAAAAGTATAAATAAAAAATATAATTTCGGAATATACAAAAAGAAATTTCATTGTTTTTTTTTGTAAGGAACATAAAAATTGTAAGTATTCAAAAATTCATACCTAGAACGTGGACAGCAGTAAAGCAAAGAAGCAATAAAAACTTCGACATCATTAGAAGTTTTGAATTGCTAAAAATAAGTAAAATTCACTGAAAATTCAAACGTTTATAACTATTAAACAAATTGAACACCAATATAAGTGGACAAAAAAATATGTGAAAATACACCGCGTATGACGACACAACGTAAATGTTCGATACAATTCTATGTGTAATTCCTTGAAAATGTTCACAAATACATATTGAGTGAACTAAAGCACATATTTTCCTTAAAGGTTGGTTTACATTATATCTAATTAAATACATTCTTTTATAAAATTCTAAAAAAAATATTGAATTTTATATATTTAAATATTTATTAAGAAAAGAATTCTTTTTAAATTTTTAATATAATATGATAAATTAATATATTATTTTAATAATATATAAGTTATAATCTATAGCATGTTTTGAATTTTTTTAAATTCAATAATAGATTCATTATATGTAATAATTTGTATATGTTTGTTGTTGTATGTTTGTAATAATGTAATAATAAATATATTTCTTATAACTTGAAAAATAAAATTTTTATTATATATGAATTGATAAAATTTGAGTAAGTATTAATAAAATTAAAATTAAAATACATAAATTTTGTTTATAAAATTTGTATTACAAATTTTAGAAAAATTCAATTTAAGAAAAATTCAATTTTCCTTACATATAATCATATATAATTATCAATAAATTATCATATATAATTTATTTATAAATGAATTTATATTGTATAATTAATAACAGTTTTTGAATTAACTATCAAAAATTTTTAAAAAATTTTTAAAATTTTTAATAAATTATTCTTTAATTAAGCTATAATTAAGCTGGTTTTTATAATATATTCCTTTTTGTAATTTAATTTTATTAATTTAAAAAATTATTGATAAAAATATGTATGAAAATTATTATAAATACTATTGAGTATATATGAAAATTAAAATTTATATTTTGTTTAATTTTTAAACATATAGAATAACTGATTTTTTCATATATTTATCAATAAATTTTAATTATATATTATTTACTATGTTTATGATATAAAAAAAATTTATCTTTTATTGATTGAATAAGACTTTTGTATTGTATTGTATTATATTGTATTGTATCGTATCAATGAAAAATTGTGTTTTTTCACAAAAGTGTTACATTGAAATATTACATATTGAAATTTATAAAACATCATAAATTCTTTATGAAAGGATTATATGTAATGAAAAAATAGATATTTGCATTTTTTAAACTGATGATTTAATTGATATAAAATAATAAAAAGATTTAGATTTAGATTTATTAAGTTTATAATTAATAAATTGAAATAATTTTTAAAATTAATTTACAATTATAACAATATAAATTTAAGAATTAAATTCTATAGAAATATTATAAAATTTTGTATATATTTATAAATAAGTTAACCTATTTTTAAAATTTATATGAATGTTAATACATGCTATGTAAATACATAGACGCCTTATACACATTAGGATAATCGCATTTTATAAGTATGTTTATTTATATTTTCAACCAAAATATTAATACATAGTAAATTTTTATAATCACTTGAATTTTATTTTTTGATTTTTTGATATTATTACATAATTATAATAATTTTATAATTAATAATATAAGAAATATTAAATAAATATTAAATTTTATGAAAAAATAATTATAGAAATAAAATTTTAGATTTTATTAACATTTACATAAAATATACAATTTTTAATAACATTTTTATTTTATTTCAAATAATTAAATAACATTAATAATATTCCATTTTAAATACAAAATAAGTTTTAGGTTAAGTTTTAATTGTATACATTAAATTACAATTACAATAAATTGTTAAAGTATGAGTTGTCTTAATATTTTCTAAATAATAAATGAATGAAAAAAGATAAAAAAAAATTAAATATAAGTATTATTTATTATAAAATATTATTATTTTTAGAAATAATGGAATCAGATTATGATGAAGATCGTGGAACTTGGACAGAAGAAATGACAAGAACTGAAGATTGTAGTGGAGAAGATAATTTTGATAATCCTCAAGAAATATTAAATGAATGTTTAGATAAATTTAAAACACCAGATTATATTATGGAGCCTGGTATTTTCGCACAACTTAAGAGGTATAATATTTTATAATGATATGATTACTTTATGTAATTATTATTGCAATTAATTATACATATTGAATTTTAATTATTGTTCTAGTTTTATTATTGAAATTATTGAAATTATAAAAATATTGTTTATTATGTATTTTGGTATATTAAAATTATTATTAAAATTATTATATTAAAATTATAATTAATAATTTATAATTTATTTATTTTTTATAATTAATAATTTAATTATAATATAATTTTAATTTTATAATATAAATGAACAAATATGAAATTGATATTTCTAAATTTAATTAAATTTATTAACTATTTAAAAAATTTAAACACAATATTTATATTTTAAAATATTATTTTTATTCTAATTTATAGATATTTCCAAGCTGGTGGAAATCCAGAACAAGTAATAGAATTATTATCTAAAAATTATACAGCTTGTGCACAAATGGCAAATCTTCTTGCAGAGTGGCTTATTCTTGCTGGAGTTAAAGTTACAGATGTTCAAGCAATGGTAGAAAATAATTTAAAAGATATGATATTAAAAACATTTGATCCCAAAAAAGCAGATAAAATCTTTACAGAGGAGGGTGAAGTAAGTTTGTAAACTTTTATTTGATTTTTGAATTATAGATTAATATTTTTTTTTTTTAATATTTAAAATTTAATATTTTATGCATTAGACTCCTGCTTGGTTAACAGAAATGATACAACATCCCACTTGGCGATCACTTATTTACAGACTTGCAGAAGAATATCCAGACTGCTTGATGTTAAACTTTACAATAAAGGTAAAAGACAGAGAAAGGTAATTTTATAATTCAGATTTTTTATAAAATGTTTACTTTTATATTTGATTTATACTATATAATTTTAAGAACTACTAGATTTTAAAAATTTATATTATTAATGATTTTAAGAACTAGATTTTAAGAATTTATATTGTGTTAATGATTTTAAGAACTAAACTTTACAAATCAAAATTCAAACACATTTTGTATATATATTATATATTTATTATATATATATTGTATAATATTTTTTTTTATATATATATTTTTGATAGCTTATATCTGATGCTGGATTTCAAGGTGAAATTACAAGTATTTCAACAGCTGCTCAACAAATTGAAGTATTTTCACGAGTTTTAAAAACTGCAATTGCTGGATTTTTACAAAATACAGAAGATTGGCAATCAAGTATACAAGAATGTGCGGTTAGTATAAAATATGTAATTTATATGTAAAAATAACTTATATAAGAATAAATTTTTTTCAAAAAGTAGATTAAATAGAAAATATTTCTAATTTAACAATTTAGGAATACAGAAAGAAATTAAAATAAAGATCACTAATGTTTTTTTATTTCTGTTTTTAATGTATTTTGTTTTTTTAATGTATTTCTGTTTTCTCTACGATATAATAATAGCAAAATGTCCATATTTAGGATATGATTCTCTTATTAGAATTTCTAATTGGTATTGTTCATTATGCTGTTTCGTTTTGTTTTGTGCATATAATGTTTATATATATAAAACAATCATTATAATCGATTTTCTATTCAGAAATAAAGAATGATTGCAGATTATTTATATGAGATCATATATCAGAATACAATTATGTAAGATCAGCACTACGTTTGATATATATAACGAGAAATTTACAATATAATTATTAATTTATAACATAATGTATTTGTTATATTATTATCAAAGTTTTAACTAATTGTTTTCCAATCAATAAGATATCAATTTTTTAGTGTTCTGATAGTTTTAATACTTACAACAATACATACATAAATCAGTTGTCATACTTATTTTAAATAATTAATAATTATTAAGTAAAAAAGTATAAAAATTATTTAGTATAAAAAATGATATCATACAATTATAAAAAAGTTATAAAAAATTTTATTTTTCTTTTGAATCGATCTTTTGAATAATTTATAATATATATACTTCCAAAGACCGTTTAAATTATTTATGAAATTTTTTACGCTATTTTTTTAGATTGTAACCAAATTTTATATTTTGTTTTCCAAATCAGTAAATATAATTTTGCAAAAAAATAATAACTTAACATTTTAAAAATTAAACAAATAAAATGGATTTTTTTACAGAAATTATAACTTTTTATCTTCTTTATATACATCTTATAAATGAAGTTTTTGAACTTCTTAATTAAATCTTATGCATATATATTGAAATATAAATTTCAATTTATAAAATTAAAAATTAAAAATTTTAATCTAAGTAAAATAAATTAATAAATAAAATAATAAAGTCAGCAAATTTAAAAAATACCAAAATATAAAATGTTTAATTATTATAATATGATTTTTTTATTGTTAGAAAATGGTATGTCATGGACAACATACTTATGTCTATAGTCAAGTGCTATTACAAATTCTCGCACAAGAATCTCGTGGTGGATTTATGATGAAAAGGCTTTCTCAAGAAATTACTAAATGTGCTCAACAAAAGTAAGAAAAAATTTTTTAATATTTTATTAAATATATAAATATATATAATGGAGATATATTTAATAACAAATAATATTGAATTTCTTTTTTAAGAATTACTTTTTATCATTTTTTAACAGAAAAAAAGATAATTATTCAGAATAGGAAAGGGTCCTTATTAATTTTAATGATTTTTTAATATATTATTTTTTAATATATAGAAAACAAAATTTTAAATAATTTTTTCCTATGTATATAGTGTCATTCTGCCTTAGTTTTCGAAATATTTGTAAAAAAAAGATTGCTGTTGTTATAAATAGAATTTCTCTTATATGTCTATGACTATGTGTTTATAAATATTTGCGATTATCATTTATCTATTATTTTTATAAATACACTCTAAACTGCGACTAAAATTAATTACTTATTATTAATAATAGATAATTCGATTAAAAATTTACTTACTCATTTATTTGAGCTTAAAATGTTTCAAATTCAATGCCGAACTTGATTTTGGATCCGTGGAATGCAAAAATAAAATATATAACAACTCTTAGACGATTGAAATTATAACGATAGATACTAAGAATGATGCTGATATTTATTATTTTAATCGCGAAAGGATTGTTTTGTATTTTATTTTTGCATTCTGCGAATACGAAGAAAGCTTTACTGAAACAAAATAATTTATTATTTATTTATTCCATATATTAGAAACATTACAGAGAATATAATTGAGAAATTTTATTTAATTAATAGAGAGTTTTGTAATTAATATGATCTAAATTGTATAATTCACATTAAGAATGGAGCATTTAAAATTTTGAAAGTCTTTGAAACTCTTGAAAGCCAAGAATAAATAATTTATACTTTTGAAAAACTCAAGTATAAATAGCTTATTTATATTATGATCATATTAATTTATATTTATTTAACTAATAATGATTAAATTTATTTATATTTATATTTTAAATTTATTTTAGTTTACATAATTTTATCAATTCATTATAATAATTTATGTAGAAAATATAAAACATAAATTATTTTTTTTTAAATTATTATTATTATTAATTATTTTCGAATCTGAATTTGAAAATTCCAAAAATTAAAATTTTAATTTGATAAAATGAATAATCCTTAAAAAAAGAAATGAAAATAAAAAGTATTCAAAGTTTTAAGATTGAATTTTTTAATTCAAACAGTTTTTAATTCAAATTTCGTGAATTTAAAAATTAGATTTTGATCTGTCTCTAATTTATATGTTTGTTTATAGTCATCATGATGTTACCCCAATAACAATGGCACTTAATGGAGCTTCAAGTAGTCCTGGTGCATGTCAAGCATTGGCATCTATGTTATCACGAAATACTTTGAATCCTGCTGATATTAGTGTATTATTTCGAAATTATTCAACAGCGGAACCACCGCCTATAGAGTTACTTCGTAATCCACAATTTTTAGGTATTAATATAATTTATTATTATTATTATTTATTATAATTATTTTCAGAATTAATGCACACAACATTATAATTAATGAATTCCAGAATTATTAGTTGATGCACTTTTTAAACCAGGCGTAAAAATTAATCCTGAACATAAATCCAAATATATATATTTATTAGCTTATGCAGCTAGTGTATGTGATATTCCAGCCAAAAAAGGACATTCACGAAAATTAAACAAAGATGAATTAAAAACAACTATTCAAGCTATAGAAAAAGTTCACAATATTTGTAATATTAATAAAGGATCTACTGAATTGATAGCAGAATTACAAACTTTATATCAGAGTATAAGGTATAATAATATACTAAATATTATTTTTATCATTATTTACAACAAAATAATATATAATTTAATTTTTATTTTTTTAGGTTTCCTGTTGTAAGTGTAGGTGTAATTAGATGGGTAGAGTGTACTGTAACAGAACCATCATATTTTAAATTATGTACAGAACATTGTCCTGTACATCTTGCATTACTTGATGAAGTTGTAGTTTGTCATTCTTTATTACATCCAAAAGTATTACAACTTCTTGTACAATTATTTGAAAGTAAACAAGATGAACTAGAAATACTTGTGCAGGTAAAAATAGAATAGCAAAGAAAATATAAATTACATTTTTATAAATAAAATGATTTCTCTCTTTTTTTTTAAATCTAGATTCGAATCCTTTAATTGTCAAAATAAGAAATGTTCAGAGTATGGAGAATATACACTTTTGAAACATATATTCTTAAAATTATTTATCATTCAAAAAGTTTATCATTGAAAAAGAATTTATTTGATTCATTTTTTTATTTGTAATTTATTTAATTCAATTTTCATTTCTTTGTTTATAACATTCCATTCTTTATTATAAATATTATTAAAAAATTAAAAATTTGAAAAATCTTATAATTCATTTATATAATACAATAAATATTTGCATAAATATTGTTATTTATAAAAAATAATATAATTATGAATACACAATTGTAAATGAATAATTGTTAATACTATTTTTTTTACTACAGTTAGAAATGAAAAAAATGTTAATTGATAGAATGGTGAATTTATTAAGTCGAGGTTGTGTGGTACCTGTTGTGTGTTACATTAAACAATGTTGGCAACGTGGAGATACAGATGTATCTTTAATTAGATATTTTGTTACAGAGGTATTATAAAATTATTTTTAAAAGGAATGTATGTTATGTTTAACAATATTATAATGATTATATTTTAGGTTTTAGAAGCAATAGCTCCACCATATACAGTCGAATTTATTCACTTATTTCTTCCTATGGTTGAAGATGAAGAAATAACAGGTACAATGCGTGGTGATAGTGATAATGATCTTGTCTCAGAATTTATAGGTGAGTTTATAAAATGTATTACATAGAAATTATATTCAATTGTAACATGTATATTTTTTTTAGTACATTGTAAAGCCCATTGTCCTACTATAAGATGATCTTCTAAGAGAAAAATGGATTAAATTAAAGAGATAATATTATAGGATATTTTTACTTCTTACAAAAATGTTGAATTACTATACATAAATTACTATTTTATTAAATCTCTTATTTGTTTCATATACAATATACAAGAACATGCATATATATATATATATATATATGTGTGTGTATATATTAGAAGAGTAGGATGATTTCTCCATCAATCTGTGATATTATAATTTATGAGTTTCTGAAACAAAAACAAGAAAATGTAATTTTTGTAGATTATTACATTTTTTTAATAAATAAATAAAAATAAATAATTTTTACAATTTGAAATGTTAAACACATCACACAATAAAAATGTTAACATATGACGTTAGAAACAATTTCTATAATAATCCAAAAATTTTTTTTATATATCATCTAGTAATTTTCCTAAATTTTAAAAAAAACTGAAATTGTTTAATCCAATCTTATTAAAAAAATTATTCTATTTTAAAGAATATATTTATCAAATATTTTTAGGAATTATATTCTTACTTAGTTATAAACAATTTCAAATATTTAAATATTTAAATAATAAAACTTCAACGTATATCTAAATAAATATATCTAAATAAAATCTATCTAATATATTTATATATCTAAATAAATATTCAAATATTTAAATTCTTGGATCTAAATTAAGTGAGTATCCAAATATGTATAAAATTATTTAAAGTTTTTAATCATATAATATAAAATATTTTTAATTATATTTTTACTTAAATTGAAGATAGAAATAAAAAAAATAAAAGATTCTTGAAAGATAAATCAATGTGGAATATTTGTGATTAATTCAAATTTTTTTTACAGAACTATTATTTTGCTTTCAAAATAATTTAAACATTGATTTAATGAAAAATATTGTTTTACATCATACATATATGTATTTGTAATGAAATTTTGTATTCTTTAATATTATATAATATATTGTCATATTAATATCCAATGATCAATATAAATTTTTTTAAACAATATTTATAACATAAATTACAAACTTTCAATAAAATAATATGAAATAAAAATAAAAAATCTATAATTCTACATGTTAAAATCTACATATACATATAGTATATATGTATTATACATAGTATATATACTTAATGAATATACATTGATTTATCCAGAACTTTAATTCTCTTTAAAAGATTATTTTTTTTTTAAATTTACTAAAAATCACTAATTTAATTATATTAATTATTTTATATAAAAATATAAATTTGATAGTATATTGTTTGGTAATATATTAATAATAAAATATTTAGTAGTAAATAATATCTTTCTTGCCCCTTGCAAATACACACTCTACAAATATTTTTGTTAATAAATATTTAATCGTGCATTTTTATATAAACTTTTATATAAAGACACTTACATATTGTAAATATTATTGTAAATATTATTACTTTTCAGCTGTAATCAAAATTTTACTATAAGTAATATATGTATTAATATATTATGATTAATGATGAGATCAAATTCAATATATATTCATAAATTTAAATTAAATTCATTGCAAAAGATATATTTCATAAAAATTAAATATTACCAATGAAATATAATTATTCACTTACATGTATTATATATAATATTTGTACTAATTTATATTATGTATTAATATATATTATAATAAATTAAAATAAACATAAAATATAATTGTGAAAATTAATAAATAAAATATTTATAAAATAAATAAAATAAAAATAATATACTTACTAGCAGGTTTACCATCTTTCCATTGAGTAAATTTTATATTTGTTTCATCACGTTTCAAAGCTTCTGCTCGAAACTCTGATTTTAATGCTTGTCTAACAAGTTTAGCAGCTATTTGAGAATAATTGATGTAACTGAAATGTAAAAACAGGTTATATAACATTTTTTAATAATTTTTGTAACAATGTAAAATTTGAAATTATATTTTACTTTAATCCTGCTTGTCTCCACGCAGACATTTTTAATGATAATTTTTTTAAAAAAGATTTTTATAATATAAATATAATAGGATAAGTTGAAATAAATTAAGTCTGATACTTTTCCAATAAGTATATCTTACTATATTTTATAAGGAATATTAGTACAAGCATAAATACTACAACTATAAGATAAGTAAGTACGATTGAAAAATATTTCATTTTAAATTTCAAAATTTTAACTTCTATTATGAAAAAATATATTATGTAAGTTATATAAATAAAAAATTTAAATAATTTTATTAAGAAATCTATATATTATAAAAATACATATTTTATTTGAATAATCATAAATACATGCAGCAACAATATTTAAATTTGAAAATAAAACTAGAGATATTATGTACATAATATATTTCATAATTTATTAATATTTTTATAATTGTATTTAATAAAATCAAATATATTTTGAGATTTAAAATAATAAATAATAAAAAATCATGAATATTATTTTATTTACATATAATTATTGCAAAAATTTTAACTAGGGAAATTTCATGTAAATTGATGCAAAATTAAATTTTATATGCACTGTAAATACATGAATGGAACATTCTGTAATAGCTGGTCACTGACTTCTAGGAAGTTTCTAGCAAGATGTCGGGGGGTGTTTTGCGTGATAAGCCGCTGGTATGCTTTTGGACGATATGACTTACCCATTGCAGTGTATGTATACAAAATTCTGGCCTATATTAAATCCCAGAGTGTTGTCATATTGCTGAAGTTAAAATTCAAATTTAGACTATTCTTATAACATTATAAATCAAGAAAACTAGGACTATTTGCAAAAATTGTCAGTGCGTGTACCACTGCCAAGACTAATATTTGGAATAATTTTAATTTTTCTTTTAATTGTGGGTTAAAATTTTTATTTTAAACAAAAAGTTTTTATCAAAATTGACAAACACGTTATTATTATTTAAAATTGGGATGGGAGCTAAAGCAAGTACTGTGGCACAATCTGCTGGAGACAATGGACAATCCTCTACTGGAGCAAATGAAACTGCAATGCAAGGATTTTCTATGCTACGTTCTCTTCCTGGAGGTGTTAGCATGTTACAACATCAACATCAGCAAGGAAATCAATCACAAACTTCTCGTATATCTGGAGATAATAGGCAGCGTGCTCGTTCTTTAAGTTCAGTACCAGATCTCACATCTGGTGAACAAAGCAATCTTGCTTCTTCAGTTGGAGTTGGAGTTGGTCAAGCACTTGGTTTGCAACAACTGGATTCAGATGATGCTGATGAAGAAAGTGGACGAGTTTATGCAGCACATAGTTTACCATCTCATATTTGGTCCCTTAATGGTAAGTTTATTAGTTATAATAATATATTGTATTCAAAATAATAATTATTTTTTCATCTCATTTATTATTATTTACATATATATATATATATATGTAAGTAGTTATTTACATATATACATATATATCCAATGTAATCACTATATGAATATATAATATAATAATATATTTATTGTTAAAATTTTTAATATGAAATTATAAAAAATTTATATAATCCATAAAATCAAAAATAAATATGAATTAATTAATATAATATAAATATTATCATTGATTACATAACTTTCTTTTTGATATGCAGCTATCTAGAGTACTTATATATAAATATAGATAAATTTCTGTTTTCAATTTTGTTTATTTTGGAAAATAATAATGATTCATTATATATTTTTTATATTCTTATTAATATGTTATATACTAAGAATTACTAAGTATAATTTTTTTATTTTTTAAATTGATTGTTTTTCAATTATGCTAAAAATTTAAATTTAGTGCATTATATGTTATAATGTGATATTAATTGAAGTGAAATTTTGAAAAAAAGTAAGGTTATGTTACGATCTTAAAATTTTTTGAAATAATTGCGGATAAAATATATAAAAATTTGTTTGATTGATTCGTGTTGTCATAGTAGTTGGCCCGGTAACCACATATGAATCGATTGCGTGATTTAACCTAGTTGCGTAAATTTTAAATTGCGACTGTAAAATAATAATTTTAAACAAAAAATTTTGTGCAACTTTATAATATTGTTTGTGATGGGTATAATAAAGTTATTTGAATTTTATTATGGGAATTATAATAAGTTCATGCCTAAATGAATCTGAGACAGAAGTTGTTCCAGTAAATCAAGTGAGAAGAATTTTTTATGGTATAATTTCTCTTAGTTTCATGACAATATGATATTATTAAAATAGCAAATAATATTTTATTTTATATTCAAGGTCTAAAATGTCCTGTTTGCTCCAAGTTTATTCTACCAGATGATATAGAATGTCACTTGGTTATGTGCTTAACTAAGCCACGTCTTAGTTACAATGGTGAGTTTTTGTTTAATAATTATAAATTTTTTTTATTGTATAAATATTATATTTTTATATAAGAAACAATTAAAAATAATTAATTTTTTTATATATATAAAAAATATGTATGTACATATATATATATTTTATATATATATAATATATAAAAAATTAATTATTGTTAATTTTTTGTATAAATAAATACAATTGAATAGTTTAAAAATAATTAATTAATTTTAATTAGTTTCTTTAAGATTATGTAGATTTTAGGAATCTTTCAAACAAATATATTAAATATTTTTTTAATCATTTTTTGAATAAAATAAAGCAGAAATTATTTAAAAATATTTTAAATAATTTAAAATTTAAACAAAAAATAAATATTTAAATTATATTTTATATTAAATTATATTTAAATAAATATTTAATTATATTTAATTAATATATTAAATGAATAAATATTTTTGATCAATTATGATATTAAAGAAAAGAAATCTTTAATCAATTTTCATATATAATAATATATAAAAAAATTTTTAAAAATATTTTTTTTAAAATTATAAAGATTTGAAATTTAAAATGATTTGATTGATTCATATTCAAATTATTGTTATTAATAAGTTATTATTAATATTATTTATAAATAATATTAATAAATATATTCTAAATATTCATTTATTTAAAAACAATAATTATAGTTATTTCTTTAAAATATTACTTCATTTTTGTCTTAATTTTACATATATAACTTTATAATGAAATACTTCATTATAATTTCTTTTTAATATATTCAATTTTAAATTCCTTTATTTTCAAATTTTTTGTTTCCGTAATTGCATATATACAATATATATAATTTATTTTATTTTATCAAAATATTTTTTTATTATTATTGTAGAAGATATATTATCTGATGAGAAAGGGGAATGTGTTATTTGTCTTGAAGAATTACAGCCTGGAGATGTTATAGCTCGTTTACCTTGCTTGTGTATATACCATAAAAAGTAAGTTATATTTATTTTATAATTTCTTATAAATGTAAATATTTATAAATGTAAATATGAAATTAATAAAATACAATTTTTTACAGTTGTATTGATAAATGGTTTCAAGTGAACCGTAGTTGTCCTGAACATCCTGGAGATTGATTTATACCTATTGAAGTTGTAATAGCACAATGCAACTTGTTTATTTCAAAGACTCTCATTATAATGGGAATAAAGGGGATGGAAATGAAAAAAATATGAAAAAAAGCTAGTCAAGATGGCTGCTAGTCCACTGTGCTGGTTGGTGTATGCAATTGTTTGACTGAATGAGATATACTCAATTTGATTATAAAAGCAGACATTGAACTAAATCCTTGATTATACTGTAAGCAGGGGACTTAAAAAATCGCCATAAGATTCAACGATACAATGCTATTATCTATATGTATCTGTAATTAATCTATTACTACTCTATAGCTTACTATCAATTGTATCATATTTACAAATTTTACTTAGTTTTATATTTTTGAGTCGGATTAGGGATAATTAGGCTAATCTGTTATTGATCATTGTATATTGTTTTTGGAGAAGGGAATATCATGAAATTTAGTCAAAAGCCTTGAATAACAATCGGGGAAACTTTATGTTATACAAGTTAATTGTAATTTTTATGGTTTCATTATAAATCTGACGTTTCATTTTTGTTGTTTGTTGGGAAATGTACACCAGAAAGGATATTTTTGATACTTTCATAAAAGAAAGAGTTGGATATATAAAAGTTTTAAAAAACAGACTTTTAGTAATAATGATGTTGAGAGAGAAATGCTGTACTAACAGTATATATAAAAGATTAGATTTAAATTTCTTTATTAAAATTTCAACTTTGTGATAAATTTCATTTATGTTTTTAGAGAATAGAAGTCCTGCAGTTATGAAATATAATTTATTGTTAAAGTTATATCATAATTAATATCTTTTTTACATGATAGGAATTAATTCATAGAAGTTTTTATAACAAAAATAAACGTGGTCTGTCAATTTTCCAATAATATATGCGTTGTATATATCTGGATTAGACTTGTATCATATAAGATAAAAAGTCTAATAAAATAAAAATTTCAAACCAAATAGAATTATAAAAATGATTTAAATATTCGGTATAATATCTATGATATTATAGAAATGAAAATAAAAATTATATGTTAATAAAAAAAAAGTAAAATTTACTATCATTTTCAACATTATAAAAAGTGATCAATGTTAATGTTATTTACAAATTATTTTATCTCAGGACGTAATATTTTTATAAGATATATGAATAACTGTTTTCTTTATAAACATTCAATATATTTTAATTATGATAGAAATATATACAATGTATGCGTTTATAATAGTTTTTATATTTCAATGTCACAATATAATTTCACTATTTTATGTTTTAAATGATATAAAAAAAATGATTCAATTTTTTTTTGAAATATTAATTTGTTGAAGTTTTACTTTTATATGTAGCCTTATATTCACTTTGTTATTTATGGAATAAATTTAAATAACACCATATAATTTACATGTCGTAATATTACACAAGAGAAATGTATTTTGTACATATTTTAAAACTAAATGAAAATTTCATATTTTATAGAATATATTTACCATATTATAATACATCTCAGATATAGATATCGTTTAAAACAATTTATTTTTTGAGTTTTTGTTAGAACTTAGAATTTCTTTATATTGAAGTAAGATATTTGAACATGAAAATAATAAAAAATAATTACATAATTGTTTAAAAAATTAGTTAATAATGCTAACAGAAGTGTTGAAATATAATTTTTAAAATAAAAAATAAAATAAGAACGAAAAAATTGAATTCTAGAATTCATTTTTTAAGAAACCTATATCTCAAATCTTTCACTATATTATGAAATAAAAATATATAAAATATAAAATATTTGAATAAAACGGATAGAAAATTTAATTTTTTTCGTTTAAAAATTAAAATAAATTATAACACAAAATTTAATATGTAAAAATTTTTTTTATTTTTCAATTTTATGAACAATTTAATTTTGCATTAGATAAAACAAGACGAAGATAAAGTACGAGATAGAGAGAGAATTATTATATATTATAATCAATTATTATTTATGATTGCTATAATTGTGTTGATTTGTTAATTTAAATTATATATCTAAATTATCGATATATTTTATTTACATTTTTTTATCTAAAAAAAAATCATGAAGAAATTTTTCATTATTTTGGATGAACTCAGATATAATATATAATCATTGAATTTAGAACAAATAAATCTAAGATTATTAAAAAAATCAAGACAAAATCAAAAATATAGAAATTGTTTCAAAAATTCAAGATATAAGATAACATGTATAATAATATCAAGGTTTAAAAGTTAATAGAATAGTTGAACCGACAAATTTCTGATAATTTCTGATAAATCTTGATCAAATACCAACATATCTTTAATTATATTCCTAGAATATAATCTAGTAAATTTATTTTCAATATATGATTTTTTTAAATCATATTAAATGACTTTATATAAAATTTTAATAAATTTTACTCATAAATTTTACTTATATTATTATCATTAATATAACAATATCATTAATGTACATTAAAAAGATATGATTTTATATATATATATAATAAATATATACTAATTGAATTGCTTTAGTACTATAATGAAAAAAAAATTTTAATTTAAATATCAAACAAGTTTTTATGTGCATTTAAAAATTTTTATCTTAAAATAACAAAATCTTTTAATAAAACAATATTATATACATAACATATATTATCTTTATAAAGATTCTTATAATATATAATCTTGAACATATATATGTAACAAATATCATAAAAAGAAACTCTCTCCTTTTATTATATAGTATATATTATAATTTATAAAATTCTTTAAGAATTATTACGATGTTAAATCAACAATGTGCAATATTAACTGCCATTGACTCATATATTGAACCACTTTTAATTCGCGTTCTATCGACAGAAAAACTTGGTTAGTTGCAATACATAAAATATATATTATTATAATATATATTATTATAATTTATATTATTATAATTTTATATTATATTAATTTATTTTTTAATTCTTTTTTTACAAGGGGTTTGTTGTGAGACAATTAAGATAGATTCTTTATCATCTAGTTGTGGAAAAGAACAAGGAGATCGTTTTAAATTATCTATTCCATATGCTAAACAAAATTTAGTGTGGAATGTGTTTTTTGATTCACAATGCCCTGAAATGGGCCCTGATTTTATATTTAATGATAATATTTTTTTAGCAGATATAGATGTAGATACTTTATCTGTTAAAGTACCTAGTCTTGCTAAATGGAATCCCAATGATGAAAATGCATTATTGAATGTTCTTAAAGAACTTTTATCATGTTATAAGGAACATCAGGTTTGTAATATTTTGTTTATAAATTTATTAACATTTAAACTATATTAAATTGACATGTTTTTCTCATAAATTAGATACAATTAATTCAAAAACAAACTCGATTACAAATAGAATATAATATGCTCATGACTTCGCAAGAAATCAGACAAGAAGATATTGAAATGATATTATTACCATTTAATTCTAAGCCAACAGAAGCAAGATTTTTAATAAGTTTATCAGTGGATCTTTCTCAGTTACAAATACGTACTTGCAAATCAGAGAGTGATGTTGCAATGCTTCTTGTAACATTTTCTGGAACAGATTGGAATCGTATTACTTCACAATTGCAGTTTTCAAAATCCTTAGAAGGAATTCTTAGTGAAATAGTTGAATTATATGTACCTTATTTTCCATCTGATACACATTTAATACATTATATATTAAAAATAAAAAAATTTATAGCAGCAAAGGTAATTTTTATTAATTCATTTGTTATTATTGTTTATAAAATATATTTTTATTGTAGGTAAACTCAGTTATTCAAAGTTTAGAAAAAAGAAGAGAGTATATAGCAGCATTTTTACTTCTAAAATATGAAGCTATTTTAGAATTTGATAGTATAAAATATACTTATGTATCATGTTTACTATGTGAAAATGACTTCTATGCAGTATTATATATTCATCTTCCATTAGGATTTCCTCGAGAACCACCTACTATTGAATTATGTTCAATATATCATATAACATCACAGGATACTGTTTATAGAGAAAAAGTAAAAAACTATCCTTATGAATTCATATGGACACCACGTGTTATGATTAAGCGATTACTTACATTTATTCAACGAAATGTAGAAACATTTAAATCCAATTCTATTAAAAATTGTTCTGCAATTCATGGTTAATTTATTAAATAATATAAATTATTACAATTATTTATAAGTCTCTTATTGTACATATTCAAGATTATTCTTTTTTGCATAAATGTATATTAAAATAACGATAAATAAAATACTACAGATAGGAAAATAAAAAAATTATTTTAATATTTTGATTTTATTAATTATTAATAATAATTTTATTATTATTTAATATTTGTTTTTTATATAATTAATAACAATTTTTTATGTTCAATTTTATATAATATATTTAATGAAACAAAAAAATATATACGTCATATATATAAATAGTTTTAAAAACATTGAGGTCAGTTCATTGTTTTGCGAATTATAAAATTACGAAAAGATTTTAAAAAATATAATAAAATTAATTTGACGTATATAATTTTATATATAATTATTAAAAAATATAACAAGAATAATCAATATTATAAGATTAACATTTATTTATATTAATAAATCAAGTAACTAATATACTATAAGAGGTTATAATATTATTTCTTATATATTTGTATGTAATAAAATTAATAAATGATATTATATATTAAGGGTTATATAAAACCCTTTTTATCTAATAATAAATTTATTTTCTCTTTTGGAAAAGCATTATATGCCACTATGATGAAATACTTGAATCAAACGGAAAGCATCAATATAGATAAAGATTTATTTGAAAAATATAAATTCAGTGTTGATCAATTAATGGAACTTGCTGGTCAAAGTTGTGCTATTGCTATTGCTCGTACTTATCCATCACTAAAAAACTCTGTACATAAGATTTTGATTTGTTGTGGTCCAGGAAATAATGGTGGTGATGGACTTGTTTGTGCTAGACACTTAAAACAATTTGGATATTTTCCTGAAATTTATTATCCAAAAAGAACAAATAATATCTTATATGAAAATTTGCTACATCAATGCATTGAAAATGATATTCCTTTGTTAAAAAATGATGTAGAATATATTGCTTCAAAACAATTGCATCAATATGGTCTTATAGTTGATGCATTATTTGGATTTAGTTTTAAACCACCTGTAAAAGATATATTTATACCTATTATTCGTTTATTAGAAAGTACAATTATTCCAATATGTAGCATAGATATACCATCAGGTTGGAATGTTGAAGATGGACCACCTACAGAAGGTGGAATAAAACCAGAAATGCTTGTATCATTAACAGCACCAAAATTGTGTGCTAAAAAATTTCAAGGAAAATATCATTACTTAGGTGGTCGATTTGTACCAAAAAAATTAGAAAAAACATATAATCTTAATCTACCTGAATATGTAGAAACTGACTTAATTATTTTATTAAATTAATTTTTTATATAAAATTTAATTATGTAATTTTTTTATTAAATATATTTAAAAATTTATATATTGTATTATAAATATGTACTTATATAATAATTAAAAATAAATTTCTAAAAAAGAATTGCGAAAAAAATAAATAATTACTATTCCTGAAAGAAAATAATCTTTTATAAAATGTTTTACTGTTAATAATTTATATTTTATTGAAATCAAAGAATACAAAAATTGAGTTGATATATACTTATATATTACATTTGTAATCAAAAACTAAATATAATATTTTTAATTAAAAATAAATTTTTATATATTTTTATTTTATAAATTTCATCTATATTATAACAGATTTTCCATTTAATATTGCTTCATATACATATATATATGATTTAATTTAAATTTACCGCTTCATATGTATATATATATATATATATATATAGATGGCGGTTAATGTTAAGAAAGTAACATCTTCATGTAGATAGAAATATATGAATAACTAATAGACAGTACAATCCAAGTGATATATTTTATTGATATTAAATTCCTTATAACAGATTGATAAATTGATATAAATTCATTATTACAGATTTTATAATTATTATTATATTATATATGATATAAATTTATAAGTTTAAAAAATGGTGGGTTTATTATAAATAATATATTTTTACATAAATTACATTAAATACTTTAGGTTAACTTTTTTTCTAAGGCACAAGAAGTAGAAGAAACTATGAAACGCATTCAATCACATAAAGGAGTGGTTGGAACAATTGTAGTTAATGGAGAAGGTATATGGCACTTTGATATCTTATATAAATTATTGTATAAAACTTAAAAAAAATTTATGTAGGTATCCCAATCAAATCTACATTGGATAACACTACCACAGTTCAATATGCAGGATTAATAAGTCAACTGTCAGACAAAGCACGATCTGTAGTACGAGATTTGGATCCAACAAATGATCTTACTTTCTTACGTATTCGTAGTAAGAAACATGAAATTATGGTTGCTCCAGATAAAGAATTTATACTCATAGTAATACAGAATCCAGTTGATTGATAACCAAAAATTAAAATATAAAATATTGTATGCTTTGGTAATTATTGATAAATTATTTTTTTTAAAATAGTTTATTTTAATATATATAATATATATAATATTTACAATATTTAATGTTTTAAATAAAAAATTTTTTAATTTATAAATTAATAGTAGAAATTAGATATTATTATCAAAATTTCAAGCACTGCAAAGTAATTAATGTAAACATAATTAAGTCATCTATATATAAATATAAATCTCAAATTAAAATTGTAACTTAATTAATATAGTTGAACCATTTGTGTTATAATTAATACTTCATATTTTTGTTTTCATAAATTGTTTCTAAAATAAATTTTTATTTCATCAAAATTTAATAAATTTAAAAATTTTTATTTAAGAAATTTTTATTTATTATTATATAAAATTTCAAATGAATTTAAATATTTTTTATTATTATTTTTTATTATTATTCTTATGCAGATTATGTATGTGTAATATTAAAATTTCATGAAGATTTCATTTCAAAAAGATAATATATAGATATTATAAAAATAATTGATTTTATTTATTACAAAACTTTATAAAATATTTTAAATATACATATAATAAAATATAGAGATTTACAATATTTAAATTTAATATTATAATTTTTGAGCTTATTATTTGATTTTTATATATTTATAATTTTTATATTTATAATTATATATTGTAAACAAAATTATAGAGAGCACAATAAAAATTGTACAAATACTATATTATAAGTGATTTCAATTTTATTTTTTCAACTTTAAAATTTATAATAAAAGTTAGAAAATTGATTTAACATAAAAATATTAAAAAGAATAATAAAATATTACTAGTTTGTAATAATATTTGTACAACTTTTATGAGATAAATTACATAATTATACATAAATTAAATATATTTTACTAAAATACTATATATATACTAATATAAATAAAAATAATTAAAAATCATTTAGCTATACAATTTTGATGTTTTAAGGATGGATGAAAAACACCATAATAAATAATCATAGCTATTATACCTAATAAAAATGGTACAATACAAAAAATAATAAGTATATTAAAATACCAAGAATTTTTAACTTCATTTGATGAAACATATATCCAAATAATAATTGCTATTATATTTTCAAAAAAGCAAATTATATAAAAGAACACATGTTTAAGTAATGTACTACCATCTATTGTATTTAGATATATGAACACATGTATTACACCAATTACCACAGAAAATAATATAGAATAAATACGTTCTTTAATTTTTGGCGAACAATGTGGAGCATGATTGGAATCTTTACAAAATTCCAATATACCATGGGAATCAATAATAATCCAAATAGTCATACTTATCCAATGAAAAATACAACCAATTATAGTATATATTGGCCAAATACTTGCCAGAACACTTAGAGATAATATTCTTGAAACTGAAAAATTATTTCAAAAAATAAATTTTAACTGTTTTGTATAATAATCATGTATACACACCTGTTATACAGAAATGCCATACAAATTGTAAAACTATTCCTATAATATTAATATTTAGTTTATCTTGTTGAGCCAATCTAATACTACGATGATAATTAGCCATTGCCCATCCCATACTTCCGAGTGAACTAGTAATACTAGCTATCTGATGAATAACTATAATGTAGATAAATATTAATTTTATTTCTCTTAATTAATATTATAAAATGAATTATATAAAAAACATACATTCAAAATTAATATTATTGTGATCATGTTTTAATAATATAGTTAATTGTAAAATTTGCTGAGGAGCAGCTTCAAGAAAACATTCAGATACTCTTAATAATGCAACATCTTGATCTTCTTTAAGCATTTTGAGGTAATATCGTCTTTGAGCATTACGATTATTTTGTTTGTTGAATTTACAAGCATTAAGAGCATATTTTAAAGTTCGATAATAGCGTAACACTGGTGTTAATTGAAATGCTATAAGTATAATGCAATATAATTTTTTTGATAACATTGCATGTATGCATTTAAGATCAGTAGAATCTGATGTTTCATTTGTCTAAAAAAAAAAAACAATGTTACATATTTAATTATATTAATTAATTTAATTATATTAATTATATTAATGTTTTTATTCAATATAATTTTTTACCTTGTTATCTTGTTGTTGCATTCTTCTGCTAATTATAACATTTATAAATGAAGGTAAAAAAATAAAAACAATTGTCCATGTAAAATATATTACTTTTTCAGCTAATAAATATCTTATTGCAAGATTTATATCAATTGCTACATCTAAAATATGCATAAGAATTGAAGATATAAGAAAAAAAATATCCAAATAAGATACAGTTGGATTTTTCAAAGGAACATCTACATCATCAATATTTATTTCTAATATAGGAAAAATATCAATAATTTGTCTTGTATGCAATTGTTTAGTCTGAATTTCCATATTTAAATATCGTCAAATAATCTTCAACATAATCTAAATAGTAATAACAAATATTAAGAGTTATAAATTTTAATTACTGATTTATTCAAAATTTATAATATTTTTATATTAAAAATAACCTTAAAGAGTTAAATTACAGAGATTTAAATTTTGTTGTCATTTTAGAATTTTTGTTATATTATATATAACTTTTATTTTGACTAATTATCTGTAATATGAAATACATATATATTTATTTATTTATTTCAATTAATATGTAAATATAATTTGATACATTTTAATACAATTGAATACAATTACTTTTAATTTATTTTTTTTAATTTGATATGTCATATGATACGTTATCGAACGTCATAATGTGATTATTCATAGTATTAAATTTATAGTATTAAATATTATAATTAAAAATGCATTAAAAATTTAGTACAACTTTTTATGTATATTTTATTATATTGCATATAACATTTTTGAATATGAAATTTAATAATTTAATATTATCTTTGATACTTTATATAAATAAAAGATATATATAAATAAATAAAAAAAAATACATATTTAATTGTTCTTCTTTTATGAAAGAGTACGAATTATCGTTGATTGTTGCCATGACACACTTTCTTTGAATATATTGTAATATGAAATATATTAGAATTAGAGATTTCAATATAATTTTAATACTATAGATTTATAATGTATAAAATTTAAAACACAAGATAAATTCTATATTAATTTAAATATTTATTTTAGAGTTAAAATTAAAATAATAAAATTAGAATAATAAAATTAGAATAATAAAAAAAACTTAAAGAACTTTCATATTTATAATTATATTTTATAAAAAATAAATATTTTACCTAAATATTTTACTTAAAAATTATATTTATGAAATATTATTAATTTAAACAAATTTTTTAAATTATACTTATTTAACATACATATAATATTATATATATATATATATATATATATATGCTGTATTAAATAAATATGTATTTAATTTTCAAAGTTTTTTCAAATTTCTTAATCATAAAAAATCTCAAATTTTATTAAATAAATGTTTTCTTTGATAGTCTTTAAGATATTTGTTATAAACATTATCTTTATTTCTCTATTTAAAAAAGTAAAAAAAATGCATAATTATTAATTTTATTAATTTTATTATATTAAAATGCATAATTAATGTTTATTAATTAATGAATGAAATTCATACATAATTTTTATAAGTTTTAATTACATTATATTTTATTAGTTTTAATTAATTCACAAATTATAATATTTAATTAATATTTAATTTTCTTATTCTTTATAGATATAAATATTTTACAGTTCTTTTTTGTTTTCTAATTTAAGAATTAATGTAATGTAATAAATTATAATTTCTTTAATATCTCAAATAAATTTTTCATTTTAGCATAATATATTTTTTTCTATATTAATTTGAATATTTTATTATGTTTATATTGATTTATATGATACATTTCAATTTTATCGCAAAATTTATCATGTATTAATATATTAATATCAAAATAAAATAATTGTAAAATAAAATTTTATAAAGTAGTTTTATAAAGTAGAGGTAATCTTTTTATTCATATTATAATAATATTATATTTATATTATATTTATATTATAATAATATTTTATTTATATTATAATAATTTTATAAAGTAATTTTATAAAGTAGAGGTAATCTTTTTATTTATATTATAAATAAATTATTATTTATTTATAATATAAATTTTATAATATAAAAAATTTTGGAATTCTTGAAAAATCATAATTAATAAAGATGTTTTATTAATGTTTTATTAATACTAAACACACATATATGCGATATATTATTTTGTGTTGTCATAGCAACTTATAGAATATAAAGATATAACCAAACACAAAGAAAATTGTTGATTAAATGAATTATTTATTATATCAGTGAATTATTTTTTCGTAATAAATGAATACAATAAATACTAAAAGATATCTCGTCATTATAATTATACAATATTTAATACTACTTTTTGATATCTTTGTTAATTCATTTACTAGCTTCTCTAGATCAAATTCAATCAATTTATTAATTCTTTATGTGTATGTGTTTTTTATTTTTGTAATATAGTAAGAAAATAAATATATTTATATAAATTGAACTTAATTTTTGTTTTTAAGGGCTCAAGATATATGTATTATTATGACTATCACACTTCTACTAGTTAACTTCTTTTCTACTTACATTTTTCAGGTAATTATCATTAAAAGTTATAAGAAAATTTAAAAATTTTTAAATAATATTGTAAAAAAATATATCCTTTTCATACAGATAGGATTAATACAATTATTATATACAAAATTTCGTATAACATTAATATTGTGTATTATATATATGGTATTAAGCATTACTTTACATATATGGGATATTAAACTGCATTGGTCATCACCTCTCAAATATTATTGGACTACAAATTTTCATATACTCTATTCATTACATAGAGGAGGTAAATATATTTTCAATCATATTTTAAATACACATATTATTTTTTACAATTTCTTTTATATTTAGTTACATTAAAGTTGCAGTTTTATACTATTATTTCTATAAGAGGGCATCTCTTCGAATCGCAGATCCAAGATTCTATGAAAGTTCAACATGGATTCAAAGCCAATTCATTTTTTCATAATTAATATTTATAATTAAATGTTATAATAAAGAAACTAATAAAAAATTTTCATTTGAAATAAATAGAAAAACATAATATAGATAATAAAGAAATTTGATTTTGTTATAGTAAGTATCTTTTTTTTGTTTACAAGAAAAATAATTAAAATAAAATTTGTTTGAATATATAATTTTTTTTTACTTTAATTTAAATTTTTAAAAAATAATTAAGTATGGTAGATATGTTGTAGATATAATATACAATATTAACATATATTTTTAAATGTATTTTTTAAAATAATTCACTTTATATACAATATAAAATGTATTGTTATAGTATTCTTTTACAATTATATTGATACTGTACAAAAATAAAATATAAAGTCTTGTACAATTTGTTATAAATACAAATATCAATTTTTAAAATAATAAGAAGCACATGCATATGTAATTCATATTATACAACATTATATTACATTTAATCATTAAATTATAAGTCATTAAACAAATAAAAATACATCAATAAAATATATCAATAATACAAGTATTATTTATAATATAAATTCTATTTCATAGTATAAAATATTAAGTTTGTACTACTTTACTTTAATATTTTTAAAGAATATAAATTAATATCACATAAATACACTTGAAGTGTATTACTGACAAAGTAATAGGAAAATTATCAAATAATTTATTTATTAAGGTATCTCATCATTTTTATCATTATTATTAGAAATAAAAAGAATGTTGATATGAAGTTACAAGTTTACAATGTTATTTAATTTAACATTTTACTGTATAAAGGTAAATTTATTATAAATTATTTATTAATCATTTTATGTTCGCATTTTAACTTTAGATGAAGTATTAATAATATTTCTTTGTAAAAAATACAAAGATGTAAAAAATTTATTTTTGTATTTTTTTTTGCAATATTTACAACATTAATATTTTATTTTCAATGCTTTATAATATTTAAGAATTTTTGTAAAGCATATCATAATACATCATATGTGTTGCAAATATGAAACTATTATTTTTTAATTTCTATAAATAATATTTTTTTATTGAATTTTTATTTTTTAGTTTTTCAAATATTCTATATAACTATTTTGACTGGTGAATTTTTTTATTAATTTAATGATATCTTATTATCTTAGGCTCATTTGAATAATAAAACAAGACTATTCATAATTCCGAATATTCTTTCATTAGAAGTACAATTTCAAAATATGAAGTTAATATTATATTTTTGTGAAAATAAATATATTTCTCTTTTGTAAGATATTTAACAAACTTATACATTCTGATTTCAATTTTTACTTTTAGAAAATATAAAATTCTGATAGTTAAATAAAAGTAAAAATGAAAAATATAAGCTTTATACAATAGCTGAATAAATTATATATCATAAAATTGGAATACATTGATGTTATATTAAAACTAATTTAAATTAGTAACTGACTTGGCTTATTCTTTCGTTCAAATTCGCCTAAATGTTTCATTTTAAACGTAGATTATATAAAAGCTATTAACATTATAATTGAACTTAATGCTTTCTTCATACAGTATGATTACTATGAAGAAAGAGTAACTTATCTATCAAATGAGGAGGTAAGGCCGTTCGCCTTGTATCATATAAAACTTGCACTTCTGCTGGAATTCTAGAGGGTGGTGCACAACATGCAGGTACACAATTATATTTACATGCCAATTTTCCTAAATTTGGACATTTTGCAGAAATTTTTGCCCACCATTGAAGAGGACAATAGTCAAGTGGTGCAGTAGATTCAGAATGATATTGTACAAGTTCAAGATCTGCTTTTTCTTCTGCAGGCATTCCACTTTTTATTGAACATAAACCTCCAAGTAAAAATTCCATGCCTGAGTATAATTAAAATATGTATATTTAAATGTATATATATATATTTATTAAAAATTTAAAAAATCAAAATTATTGTATAATTTAAATTTTACCTGATACACGACTTTTTTTATTTAAAGGTTCCTCTTCTACTTTGATGCTTATATTATCACCAGATTCTTCTTGTATTAATTTTGTCAACATTTCTTTTATATCAGTTGCTACTGAGTTTTTGTCTTCTTCAGTAGCATATGGTAATTGTTTAAACCTAGTATATACCATATGATATTAATTACATTTCTTTTCACTTAAAATAGAACTTATTTTAGTAATATGTAACTACCTTGGATCTAAAGTAGTTGCAATTTGAAGTAAAAGAGTAACATTATAATCTGCATATCTATCATAAAGCATATCAGATAATGATTCTTTGAAAGATTTTGCTTTCTCACTATCACTTTCTTTTATTTTAAGGTGAGAAGATACAAGTTGCCAGAGTAATGGTTTTAATAAAGAAATCAATGGCATTTTCTCCTCACTAAGTGTCATAATAGTAACTTTAAATGGTTCAAGTACATTTACAAGATCCTCTACAATTTTCCATTGATCATTTGTTAAATCAACTACTTCTTGATCAACACCTTCCATGCTCTCCAAAATTGATGTTACAATATTACGACGTAAAACCATTTGTTCAAGCATGTTGTATGTTGATGTCCATACAGGTGGATAATCCATTAACATAGCATTTTCTTCTAGCTACAATTATGTTAAATATATTTTAAAATTATAAATAAATTATAAATAATTTATAATAATAATTTTAATTTTAAAATTATAAAATTATAAATATATATATATATATATATAATTAATTTAAATGATTTATTAATAATAAAATTTAATTACTTCTAATAATTGTTCTTGCATAGCTAATGCTGCTGATGCAGCTGGATGACTTATAATAGCTCCAATAGCTGCTCTACATTTTGATAATATAGTTGCAACTTCTGGACTTTCAAAGCAAGCTTGAGCACATACTTGTAAGGTATAAAGTAAACAAGGAACTAATGTCAATCCTCGATTTGTTAAAGCATTCAGTAATTCTGTTCTAGATGTGGCTACTACTACTGCAGTTATCCTTTCTATTTTTAAATCCCAGTCAAGTAATAAAGAATCTATTGTATTACCCCATTGAGATTCCTCCCAATCTAAAGGAGCATGAATAGTACTTAACACTTTACATTCTAACACTGGTTCACCAGAGTTTTGATAATATACAGACACAGTAACAAATCGTTCATCAGAATTTGATTTCCATTCTTCAATAGTCAAACCTACTTCACTTGTAATACAAGAAAGAGTTGTTGCTACTGATTCACGAAAAGTATCATATATCTTTGGAATAATTTCTTCTTCTAATTTATTTTTACTTGGAATTTCACAAGGTGAACGTAAAGTGGCAACTAATCTCTGAAAACCTCGTCCTTCCACTACTTCTGGTAATTGTAAATCCATTATTATAAATTCAGCTATAGCATCTGATACAGTTTTTCCATCAATACTTGATTGATTAATAGAATTATCTTCTGGCATGAGAAAGGCCACATTTTGACTATTATTTCCAATGTTAGATCCACTTTTAATCATAACTCTTAAAGGTTGACCAATTGTGATATCATCTTCAATATTAGATAAACTTACATTTGGATCAGTTACAAATTGAATATCTCCATCTATTTGAACAGTACCATCTGCATTAGTAGTATAAATATGTTGAGTAGAAGTTAAACCTGTTTTTAATAATTTTTTTTGTGCTCTTCTTTCTTTTGTTTCCTGAGAAAGTACTTGTCTGCGTGGAGGATTAGTAGCTTCTAATTCTAAAAGTTCTTGAGCATGTTTATTTTGTAAATGCATACGTAAATTACTGGTATTACGATTATATGCAATTTGAGTTTTACATAATATGCAAACGATTTTTACTTTAGTAAGAATATCTCCATCATCTGTAGCTGGAAATCCGAAAAATTTCCAGTAAATACTTCTCATTGACATAGGTACTACTAATTTTTTATAAGTATAAGTATACTTTTCTTCCATCATTTTGGCAAGTACCATTTGCATTTCGCTTTTCGAATCATCTGTTGTTGCAGATTTTCTGTTGTTAGGCAATGTTATTGGTTTATTTTCCATAATTGTAATTCAAAATACATAGGTACCGGTACGTCTTATCTTCTAGATATTAAAATATACATATACAATATTTCTCACAATTGTAATATTTCATAGCGTTTTTTCTCGTCAAAATGGAAAATTTTTGTTGCATAATTTAAAATATATCTGTTTATAAAGATGCATAATCTTTTTTACACGTTCTCGTCTTTTTATGGTTATAAAGGAATAACAAATTTACCGCGAATACTACGATATCTCAAAGCAATGTTTGACGAATTATTTCACAGATATCGAACTTCAATTTCTCGTTTCGAAAAGAACGATGCACGATCGGTTATCGACCACCTCTCGTAACGATGCTATCGACTTTAGTTCACTTACTCAAAGAAATATCGCTACGTAGAGTTCTCAACTAATCGATTCCATAAAATAGTATAGCTTCGATGAAGCGCCATCTGTATCGATTATTCTTTATTTTGTTCTTTAGATGAAATGTAAAATGTATTTATATAAAAATTAAAAAGTAATATTTTTCGTTATTCAAATAATATTAATTATTAAAAACTATAAACAATATTAATATTAATATATTAAATATATTATTTTTCGATTTAATATAAGAACAACATCTTGTTATATCAAATATTTTCTTATTCTATTAAAAGTGTAATTTTTATAAAAAAATTGTTGATAATAACTAATAATTAATAAAAATAAAAGAAATTTTATGAAATATATAATTTTATGAAAACGTGAATACAAAATATTAATATTTAATGAAGTAAATACTTGTTTTTGGAAAATTAACCTAAAATTTTATTTGTATTATTCTACATCGTCATTTTATATTTTATAAAAAATTGAGAATATATACTTTTTATTATTTTTATAGTGCGATATATTAATTTTAATTAGAATTATTTTAAACTATAAAAAATGTACATAACCAAAAAAATGAAAATATTTTTATATTTAATATTATGGAGGTTATTTTCTGTCTTCATGGTTCAAACTGCCCATGTAGCAGATGAATATTGGCAATCATTAGAAGTTGCTCATCATTTAGCATTTGGATATGGATATCTTACATGGGAGTGGACAATGAAAATTCGTAATTATATTTATCCATTTTTATTATCTATCATATATAGAATATTGACATTGATATCCTTGGATTATGTAATAATTTTAACAACTGCACCTCGAATTCTTCAAGCAATTTTCAGTGCTTATGGAGAATACAAATTCTATGAATGGACTAAAAACAAATGGACATTATATAGTTTATGTATAAATTGGTATTGGTATTATTGTGCTACACGTACATTAATAAATACTATAGAAACTACATGTACTATGATAGCTTTGTCAATATATCCATGGCGTGGTAATAATATTAAAACTGTAAAGTATTTATGGATTGTAGGATTTCTATGTATGATTAGACCTACTGCTATTATTGTATGGTTGCCATTATGTTTTTATCATTTATATACAAATTTACAAAATAAGTGGAAAATAATATGTCAGTATAGTGTAATATGCATTATTTGTTGCGTAACTTCAATATTATTAGATACTTACTGTTATGGTATTTTAGTCATTTCTCCTTGGGAGTTTTTTCGTATGAATATACTTCATAAAATTGGAAATTCATATGGTACGCAACATTTCTTATGGTATATTATATGTGGATTACCAGTACTTTTAGGGTGTTATTATATTGTGTTTTTATTATGTATTTGGCAAATAATGAAACACCCATCTTTTTTTCATTATCAAGCAGTTATGTTATTTGTTATATGTTGGACACTTAGTATTTATTCTTTGTTGTCTCATAAAGAATTTCGATTTTTATTACCTCTTTTACCAATGTGTATATATATATGTACTTCTTGTACATTCCATTTGAATATGAAATTTATGAAAACAGCAAGAAAAATTTTTGTAGGATTTTTAATATTATCTAATGTATTACCTGGTCTTTATTTTAATTTAATACATCAACGTGGATCATTAGATGTAATGAATATTCTTCATAAAGAAATTACTAATAATAAGAATACAAACAACATATTATTTTTAACTCCATGTCATGCTACTCCTTTATATAGTCATTTACATATAAATGTATCTATTAAAATATTAACTTGTGAACCTAATTTGACTAATAACATAAACTATATGGATGAAACAGACATATTTTTTACAAATCCAATGCAATGGTTGGTTGAAAATTATGATATTAATAAAAATATTACTATTCCGAATTATATAATATTGTTTGATAATATTGTACCAAAAATAGATCGATTTTTAAGTCACTATCAATTGTTATCGGAAATTTTTTATACACATTTTCCACAATCAAATTATGGAAAATATATTTATGTATATAAACATAAATGAACAAATAACTTCTTCAACAGTTTTAAGTTAATAGAATAAGTTATTACAATAGTTATAAGTTATACAATAATAAAAATAATAAAATTATAAAATAAAAATAATTAAATTTTATAATTTATTGAATGATGGATTAGATGAAATGTAACCAAATATAATAAATAGAAAATAAGAAAGATCGAAGGAAAATCAAAAAAATTTTATTAAAATCATAATTTGCAAATATAAAAAGCTTCGATAGATAATGATTATTATTCGATTTTCAATGATAAAAAATTGATTGAAAGATTAACTTATATCAAATAATTTCGAATTTTACCTTTATATGTACAATGATATTGATTTCAATTAATTATATTAATTGAATAAGGATCTTCTGTGACATAATATCGTTTTATAATATTAAATAATATTATAATATCAAAATATTTAATTATTATATTGTTCATGTGAATATCGGTATAGAGTTATAGAATTAAATAGATTGTTATTTTAATTGGCAAATAATTTTTTCAATAAATCAAACAAAATTAATGGAAATTTCTGATTTTTTTAAAATTAAAAATACATCATTAGAGAGAGAGAGAGAGAGAGAGAGAGAGAGAGAGAGAGAGATTAGTTAAATATAAAGAGAAATGAAGAAAAAATATTATCCGTAAGATGTTAAGTCGAAGAATACAGTAGTTGTAACCGCGAATAAAGAAAAGCGGACGTGATAAAATAACGCAAAGTAAAGTAAGGTAATTCGTGGCTATAATCAAAGGTACAGTAAAATGGTGTAAGTGAGATGGAAGAAAATATAAAGAGGGGACTGACTACATGGAGTCAACGTTCCGAGCGGGTCAGCGACCAGCTCTGTCTTTTTCTCTTTCAACTTCTTCTCGTGTCCTTTTCTCTATCATGATACTCTTCCTTCATAGCTGTTTTTCCATATTAGAAATTTTATTTTATACTTCATTTCATCAATCGAAAGAATTTTAAACGAATTATCGGAATGTACATATGTTTGATGAATTTCTCCGATTTCGAATAACATTATAATTTAATATAAGGAACAATTCATTGCGGAAGAAGTATTGTGATTTGTGACGGTTTGAAAGTTACATACGGCTATGTGTACGAAAGGTATGAATATAATCCTTGTCAGAGAGAAAGTTCTGTGCAACGGTGAATCCACTCCTCTTCTCTATCGTAAAAGAGCATCCAAAATGAATTGTTCATCATAAAATATAAGAAACCCAATTATTACCAAATTGAAATATTTTTAGATGAGGTAAAAAAGATCAATGATTAAAAATATATATGTCAAATATATTATTTTAAATACTTTTTTCTTATTATAGATTAATGATTATTATTCTTTCTGTTGTATTATTAATTCCATAAAATGACAAATATCATATAAAATTATTCCTAATTAAATGAGATATATATACATTAAAATTATAAACATCACATTAAATTATACAATAATTTTCGCATAATATATTTTACTTTTATCAATTTATTTAACAAAAATTATTTTTTTCATGTAATTTTTGTATTTATAATTAATTCTAAATTATAGAAACATTAATTGCTGATATTAGCAATTAATAATTCTAGATTTATGTGGATAAAACTAAAATCGGGTTTAAGATTCATAAGAAATAAATGTTTGATAGATGTTCCTAATTTAAAAAAGTTCTTTTTTATATCTTTTATTTTACTTCTTTCGCTTTTTTTTTAAAGAACGAATATTAAAATTAATGAATAATAATTTTTTATATTAGAAAATTATCAATTTCAATTATTAATTGTATGATAAACTTAATCTCGATTATTAATATCTATCATAATTATATTTTATACTCTTTTTTTTTTCTATATTTTCTATATTTTTATATTTATGGTACAAAATATCAATTGTTTTTATTATTTTTTATTGACTATAATTAATCATTTTTATAATAACGATTTTGATTATGTATAAATTGTTTATTTTCCTTGATTTTTTCTGTTTCAAATAAAAAAAGAATTTGTTAAAAGCCTTAAAACAAATGAATGTACAAAACACTTAAAATTTGCATTTATTTTGTAACAGCATAGTAGTATAGAGAATCGATATTAGATATAGACACGAAAAGTTCAGAGTCCGATATCGTAAACCGGCTTTCCTTCCATCATCAACGCAGACTTTGCTCCTCAAGCGAAGACTAGTCTCGCGCAATTCTTGTCATTTATTCAGTTTTCTATATCTATTCGATTTGCAAAAATTTCATCTTCATTATTTATCACATATTTATTTTATTTGACATTAATCATATTTTAAATAAATAAATTAAATTTCTCATCAAATATATGTATTTTCCTCTTATCTCACGTACAAGTTCTCAAATTTTATCCGGAAATGTAAATAATTTGAAGATAATGCTTATAAATATTTATGTAAAAAAACAGCTTTAATTCATTGTAAATAACTTATTGAAATAATAATCAGGATTTGTTTACTATTCTGTAACACAAGGATTGATAAAAATCTATGTGAATATATCTATTTTGTAATCTCAATATGATTAATTTGTCCGCAAAGAAAAGCAAATAATATATATGTATGTAAATATATATAACAAAAATTGAATGAATTGAAATTAACATTCTTGTAGTATTTATTTTTGATCTTGGTCCATCATAAACCAACCGACAATGCACTTGTCTTCCTCTGGCTGTCGTTACGCGCTGTCGAGTCCGACCAATCACAGTTAGCGGGCAACAGGTGACCGACCAATCCGGTCTCCATGTCACGACATCGTTGTTCTTACGTAGTGCTAAGCATTTCGTTTCTACGGATATTCCTACCAAATCCAACGATGATTGCTTTTCTGCTTCTCTGTCTATAAGTACTTACATAGCTCTTTTTATTCTCTCATTTCCCCACCCCTTACGTTAGATCGTGCTAACCTGTTGCTTGTTAGGTTTCCTTCATTCTCCTTCGATTCAATGTAAACTATAGATATAATATTACTATTTATATATAATTATATAACGAATTTTATAATAGATATAGCAAATAAATAGTTTAAAATTTTTATTTTGCGAAATTTGAAACGAGATTTTTAATCTTTCTATGTGAATAATCAACATGTTTGAAAATAGACATAAAGAAGATTTCTTAAATGACTTATCATTTTTCATATCTAACGAATAAAAACATATATGGATATATATTTCGTTAAATGGCTTACAATAATATTATTATTAAATAATATTATTAAATAGAGAGCAAGAAAAAAATATTAATAATTGACATATATCTTCTGTTTCCATAGATAAATAAATCTGATTTAAATCAAACTAAAAAAAGGAGATTAATTTGATTATTATGTAAACAAATGTATTGTATATGTATTGTAAATGTATTGAATATTCAATTTATTTTTCAGAATATTAAATATATTATATGTACTTTGCATTTATATTTGTATTTGTAAAAATCCACAATGTTTTGATAAAAGAGAGAAAGAGAATCTCGATAAATGAAGTAAGACATATATATACGCACGTTATCAAGGCCGTGATCATGTTATGGAGGGAGCACCTCGAATCGAGGGCATAGTCGACAATATACGTATCTGTGATCATTTATAGAGGCTCCTTATAACTCAGAAATGCGCCAAGTAGCCGCCATTTTTGTTTCTTTCGATCACCATCCTTATACCTCTTCAAATCTGCCAACCATATATATTCCTGATCAAAAGGGACGAACATTCTACTTCGAATGTTTACCTTCTTCGTGGAGAATTCATTCATACACACAATATCGTTTCGGATCGGTTCGATGTATCGAATATATCGTTCGATCCGCCATGAAGAAATAAACGTGGCGCTCCAGGTAGAAAATAATCGCGGCCGGGGAAAGAGGGGTGAGCGTACCGCAAGGCGAGTGGAATGTCTGCGCACCTGGCCAGTGCGTCGCTGCTTTGACCTGCCTTTCCCTTCGCCTCTTTAACCTGCACTGTTCCGTTTTCGTCATGGCAACATGGAGCAACATTCGAATCTAGTATTTTGAAACCAATTTCACAAATCATTGTAAAGAGAATATCCATCAAAGAAGTTTCTCGAATTTAAACATTCAATGTCCGTTATCATCGTGTGAAGTTTCCGCGTTTTTTCAACGTGACTTGCTCGATCTTTGTCTTGTACGTTCGTTTCGTCGATATTAACTATCCTTGTTGCACGAACATGTACTGAGTTCACCGTGCGGGAAACGAAGCGCACGGGAATGAGCAAGAGGGTCTCTCTAGCCAACGAGCGACGGGTTCGATGCGCAGTCGCCAGGTGAGGCAACGACGACGTGTGCGCGCAACGGTTGGGGTTCGCCAGTGTTGCACGAAACCTTGCTTTCGCGACGCGGCGGTTCGTTCACGGTGAAAGAACCGCAGAAACAAATTTTTATTCACGTTTATTGGGGGGCCGAATTAATCAAGTTATTATTACGCGATACCTGCGTAAACGTGGCGCGTTGCATATCGTGATATCATCCATCGGCTCGCGATCACGGTTGTCGATCCTTAACCTCAAACAATAAATAAAACAACGATGTCATCGAAAAAGGATACCAAGAATCTGTGAACGTGTTTAACTTTAGTGAAACGTGTAAAGGTTTTATCAGGTGGGAAAAGAGCATAACAAGAGGCCTGGAATTAATTTTTCAGCCTCGTCCAGGACACGGTTACGATCCGTGTCCGTACGGTGTGCTACTTTGATAATAGGGTTCAGGTGTACATTGACCTAGAAGTGAGTAGTATCCGAGAACGGAACGGATCGCGACGGAAACGAAAGGTAAACCCTGGCACGATGCAGACTATGGGCGCTACGAGGGGACCGACTCACCTGGTTGCCCTTTACGTGGCGACGGCCGGTCTCCAGGGTAATGCTCTCGGTTCTGATGAAGAGGAAATCACACTATTGGTTTATGTGCTTATCGACGTACTACAGAATAAGGTATGTTACATATGTAGAATAATTATTGAAAAAGAAAAAAAAAGATAGGAATGAAAAAAGAAAAGTTGAATTAATTCAAGAATATAAAATATTAAATGATTTACCGATTTGTGTCATTCATTTTCTGCATATAATTTTTATGAGCAATATAAAATAATTACAATTTTTTGTATGATTTATGATATTTATGCAATATGATTCACATATGTTATATTAACTAATTGAAAAATATCTTGTTTTAAAAAAACGTTCAAATTTTTCGAGTGATCTGAAATATAATTAATAGTGTTTTCCTTCGCATTTCTGTTTTCAACTCGAAGATAATTATCAATGAATGATTAATTAATTATTTTATCGAAACCGTGATATCAAAAATTATCAATGTATCATTTAATTTTCACAAAAATTTCTTTACCGCTGTCAATCTTCGTGTTTGCACTGAAACCGTGCCGCCGTGCCTCTGCATGTCTCCGGCTGCCATTGTTTCTCGAATTATCCGGTGGGGGCGGAGCGTCGCGCCCTCGAAAGGTCGTCCATTACCTCCAGCTTTGCCATCGAGATTATCTGGCGCCATGGATTCCGTTTCTTATTAATTCTCTTATATTATGATAGTGAAACTATATTTCTTATTGAAACATAATTTTTAATCGATGTTTGATATTAATTATTTAGATTTATTGTTTTTTAATATTATATAAAACATAAATTTTTATTATCATTAATATTTTTCTCATGATTGTTACAATTCAAAAGTACATAAGAAAACTACATAAGTGAAAGTAAAAAACATACTAATTGTATAATTTGTAAATATAATTGAAAAAATCATTTTAAAATCATTTTATTTTCAAATTAATTATAAATGTTATAAAATAATGATCAATAAAATCAGCTTATGATTAAGATGATGATATTTTTTTTATTAATGTAGATTATAGGCAAGAATATTGATTAGAATTCACAATTATGTTAAATATTATCATTAATATTCAACGTTTTTTGCATTAAACTTGATCGATTGAAATTGGATTTTTATCATATCAAGTTTTCATTAATAGTTTTCATTAATATTCAAAGTTAAGTAATATTCGGTTCATTTTCATTTTAATCACATTCTTTCGTAAAATATTGAGAAACTTTTATAAACCGATCATTATATAAAGTAAATGAAATAATTTTTCTAAGAAACATTTGAAGGAAAGTAAATTTTGTTTTATATAGTTTACATTATGCGTCTAGTGAATTATTATATTTATTTCGATGAACTTTCGAGTTTCGATTTGATTGTGACAAAATTTATAAAATAAAATTTTCTCAGCAATGAATTTGAGGAATAAGGCTGCAACAGGTGCGTTTAGTATTCTTTATTCTTTGTTGTGAATCGCCTTGCACGAGTGCACCCGAGTTCCAGCTGGACGATCGTTTCCTTTTTCCCTCAAGTTACATACCTGACTATCTCCAATCGAAACCATCGAGGACAATGGCCCTTTCGTTTTGCTAAGTTTTCATGCAAATCCAACAATTGATATATCTACCTACAAGTAGTAAATATAGTATCTACGTATATACACACATTTATAAATATTATTATTGTTATTATAACTATCCGATATTACCTATCAATAAATCGTTGTACGATCCGAATTGTTCGGTATTTAAAATATTTTATCTTTAATATCATTTAGATGTCCAATGTATTTTTAATATACATCCCTAAATAAAATATTAATGGTATTGTCGATTAATTATCAATTCTGCGCATTCAATAATATTATCAAAATGCGATACTACTAGTCGTTAAATATATATTAATACGTTTATTAAATATATATTAACGTTTTATATATACATTAAAAAAAAATTTTTTGTTTTATAAATTGGAAAGTGGTTTTGTAAATTACAACAGCGAAAAAGATTTAGCAAAATTTTGTATATTTTAAAATTTGAATTATAGGAATTAAAATTAATTAATATTTAATATAAGTAAAAGGTAATCAATTTAATCAATATGTTTATATCTATATTATCTTAAATAATTTGATTTCTTGTAACTAGATAAATTAAATATCAGAAAAGTATCGAAAAATTTGTATACAATAGGAAAATCGAAAGTTTCTAGTTTCTAGTAACATAGGATTATGAAAACTTTGCTTTTTGCTCTGATAGAAATAATAGAGATTGCAAAGTATGAGATATACAGCCTTTTAGAGATTCAAATCTATTCAAAAGTAGATTGAATATCTTGATAAATATTACATATGTAAGTAAATACATCTCTCTGTATCTTTGAATTTTTTATCGTTAGCAAACGCCAGATTACCTCTCGCTTTCCTTTCATATATTATGAGTGCAATAACTTCTCTATTCTCTCCTTGATTTATTTTGCCAAGATCCATGAAATATCTCTCACCGTGTGAAAAGAAAGGATATTGACTTAAATCAGGAAAGAAAGATTGTACTCGCTAAGGTTGAAACACAAAAACACAAGCATCGTATGGTTTTACTTGAGCAAACAAAAATCTCGAAGTATAATTCCTGTAATTCTAAGGAATTGATCCTTTTAAACGTTGTCTATTTAAAAAAAGTTTTTAAAAGCAAAATATATATAATCATATTTTTATCATAATTTTACATATCACAAAATTATTCATAGTATGAAACGAATTTTATTAATAAAACTTAATATAGTTATTTCTATTTTTTTTTTTTTAATTAAAACGGCAATTAAAATGTTTAAAATTATTTTAACGGTTAGAAAAGATTCCTAACTTTCGTTTTAAGTATTGTCTAATTCTAATTTGATCGCAATCGTAATTCGTTTAAAGAATGCTTGCACAACTCACCTATTGTAATTCGTTTCCGGCGTTTAAAGTCGATCGTCAAGTCGAACTATAATGAGCGACGTTGATTTATAGGCTTAACCTTTGCTGTGTATTTCCTTATTCAACGTTTCAAATGGTTTCTTTTAAATAAAACATGTATCTTTATTTCATTATTATTAATTTTACATTATTTCTTTCTACGTCATGTAAAATCATAATATGATTTTGATTGCGTTAACTCATTTTTAATATTTATTCGATTCTGCATACACCAAGAACCGCTTCTTTTTTTATTTTCTTTGATTTTCTGAACTTTAGATATTACACGTACAGTCTATTATTTGCGTCCATTCCGGTTCACCATTCTGAAAGCTTTTTCTCTTCCCTCCATAGTTTCTCTCTTTCTTTGTGTTGATGTCGTCGGGTTTTAGTCTTGTAAATACCGCTAAGATATAATGTATTCTGTGGGAAAAAGATTCGAGAAGAGCTCGAAGGACGTTGAAATCCTTTCCTTTATTGTCCGTCACTCGACGATAGAAATAATTATCCCGATTATTCTATATGATTGAAACTTTGAGGCACAAAAGTATGTTACTTACAATATCTAAATATAAGTATGGAAGATAACCGTTTTGTAGATAGTGACAATATTCTTTTTGTAAAAAATTTATATCTTAATAGGTTACTATTATTTACTCTTTAGATTATTTATTCGATAGAAATTCTCTCTAGTTCGAGAGAGAATTCGAGAATGGCGTTAAAAAGATTTTTTTTTCTCCATTATTTTGATCGGATCAAAAGATTTAGATACTTTTTGGAAATTGGAATTTCTTGATTATTTTAAATTATAAATAACAGTTTATAAAGTAGTCATTAATATTGTTTACAGGATATATTTCTTCTGCTGTACATATACAGAAAATTGAAGACCTTCAATGAAGGAATTTGGTGTTTCCTTTACTTCATTGTTATCCTCAACGAGGACAAGATAGTTTCTGTGAACAACGCAACTCGCGACTTTTGACCCCCCGCTCCTTTCCCTTCCAGCAAATATCGTTCTTTTGCTCGTTGACCGTCTCGCATTTGCGCTCTGACTTGTTAGATTTGCAATTTATGAGTTTGCTTCGAATCATGCTTCACGCTTTACTTTGTTGCCACGACAGATATTCAGGGTTATGACGCTTTAATATGCGATTGCCTATTTTCATCATATTTTAATTCTTTTTATCATAAGATTATTCAACCAAGCATGATTGTTACCTGATTGTTATCTTATAATAATATCTAATAAAAAAATCGATTAATTAATGAAAATTTCTAATAATAATACTAATTTCTAATAATAATTTAATAATAATTATATTTCAAACTTCGTTGCATATCATTTCATATCCAATATCAATTTTTGTATGGATTCGAAGGATTAAACAAATCTGAAATTAAAAACACTTTATCAAAGATTATATCAAAAATGTTTGATGAAAAAAATCTTTAAAAAATTATCTTCTCAACCTATTTCGTATATATGATATAAGTGACAATTTGTCTTGAAAGATTCGAATATTTGTAAGTCTTCTTTGAGAACAAATTCTAATCATAGAACGTTATCATTATTTCTTTAATCTCGATTTGCAGGTGTAGAATTCCGTTATCAAAGCTCCATATGCATTTGTACATTCTACTATATAAATTACTGGAAAAATATCTATTATATAAATAAGCAAAAAAATATTTGTATATTTATATTCAATAATTATGCAATATGAATATTCTTATGGATTATAGATATGTAAATGTCAAAAATTTTATATATATATATATATAATTTTAAATATTATATATATATATATATATATATAGCAGTATTATTGTGAAATTAAATTGTGAAGATTATAAATTTTTGCAAGTAAAATATAATTGTACATATGGTGTAGATGTCATTTATAAAATATAATATTATTAAATTTTTTTAAAAGAATATGATATTAAAAATATAATTTTTAATAAAGTAGAATTACAACGTAATAAAAATTTGTGATTTTTCATATTTTTTGTTTTAAGTTATTAAATAAAATTTTATTACAATCTCTATTATGATTTTTGAAAGACACAACCGTTTTACATTTTTTAACAAAAATTAATTAATTGTTATCATAGAAAAATTTTAAGTTTAAATAGGAAATACTTCTGTTCATCACGATATTTCATTGCATTATGATATTTTTAATATTTATTCAAAATGATGATTTATAAAGTTGAATAATTAGTAATTAATATAATTAGCATTTACGTAATAGAATATTAGTTCATCTACGTCGTATACGAGGTTTTATCGACGAAGATAATCCAAGACGATGGCTTACTCGTTACCGAACTACCTTGATCCGTTAACCTCACATCAAAGAACCTGCCTATTAAGTTTCTTGTACTTTATTTCTTTTTTACGTCTTTCTACTCTGTCGATATATGACTACCATGTGACATTTGTGAACATATATTTAAATACATAGAATAAAATCTAATAAATGAAACGCTATAAATTTGTGATACATTTTATAAATATTCAAAAAAAAATATATTTAAATATTTATACCAATTAAAAATTTAAAAAAATATATATATTTTTTAGCAATAAGGAAAACATCTTAAATGTTAATAATTATTTAATTTTCAAATATATTTTCTTACTTATTTTTCACTTTCATATTTAAAAATATTCTATTGATAAATCTAATCTAATAATCTAATAATCTAATAATCTATTGGTAAATCATTTCTCTTATTTCTTAAAAATACTCATGAATAAATTTTTCAATGTTCCCTCAATCGAATTGAGAAATCGGGTTCAGTATTCACATTTATTCTGATGAAGAAGTTTTCATTTCTAACCGGTTGATACTTTCTATCCGTATTTGAAATATAGTAAAAGTTTCAGCCGCAATGATTGTTGAATAGAATTAATAATATATTGATGATCATTATTTTTATATTACTTTTTCCTTTCTTTCCAGTATTTGTTTCATCGTTCATATTCTTTTATATGTTATAAATAATTATTTCATATTTCTAATATTAATGATTTATTAATGATTTACAGTATAATTATGAAGCTGCGTGCCATTTTTAAATTCAGATAATTTACTATGTTTTAAGATATAATGAGATTTTAATATAAGTAGTTGAAGAATTTATTTGCTTAAAAAAAAATTTCTATTTTTATTTTAATTTAATTGTAAATTAATTGAAATATCCAGTATAATAATATATATAAATATTTGTATAATAATTAATTAAAGATATATTTATTAATGAAATTCAATTGTTTATACAATATTATTGAAAAAATCGTTACAAAACATAATATAAAGTGATATGTATATAATATGTATATAATATATATATATATATAATATAAATGATATGTAATTTTTTTTAATACTAATAACTTTTTTAATAATAATTTACTGAATGAAATAATATGATAATATGATATGATAAAATATATGATAAAAAATATGTATATTAATTCTTGTTATAATATATATATATATATACATTAATTCTTATTATAACAAATATATATATATTAATTCTTGTTAAGTATTAAATTAATCTTTCGAAAAAATTTTTTGAGGTATAAATATATTTTTTATAATCTTTATTTTCTATGAATACTTACTTGATAAACATTCAGATAAAAGATAATCTTTATATGTTTAATATGAAAATAATTTAGAGTTCATGACTATATTTAAAAAAAAAAAAATGAAAAAAATAATACAGTTTATTGCTATAATATAATTTATTAAGTTATGATTATATTGAATATATTGAATATATTGAAAATCGTAATTTAATAAAGTATTTTAGATTATAAAAATAAAAATATTAAATAAATATTTGATAAGAAATTTTTGTTATTAGTTTCATTGACCTACCCCTTTATACATGCAACCTGTTCGGCTAATAAGTAGGTAATGCATGACACATTGCATAGTAACAGGAGTCTATTGAATATCAGAATTATTAAACTTTATTATTGATAAATCATATGATTTTCATTGAATAGCATAATAAATATTGTTAATACTTTAAATTTAAATATTATATAAAAATATATATAGATATCATTGAATTTTTTATTCAATATTTTAGTATGTTACATAAATATTTAAAACTAAATAATTCATATTTTTTTCAAAGATTTTTAATGAAGAACGAATAAGTGAAAATATATTATAGATACTGATTATTTGCGAACACAATTTTCATAGGTGCTGGGAAGGCAACAATATATTGTACGACCGATGGTAATGGACGAAAGTTGTACACCTGGAACCGGTAGCGACAATCCGGCAGTTGCCGGAAGTAGCGGAGTCATCAGTGAAGCAGCATTGGCGCATGCTCCAGCGTTAACTGAGAGGACAGTTCGAGAACACGGAATTCCTTTAGAGCAAGCCATTCAACAGGTGAAAAACTCTTTTATTGAAAAGCTCTACATGATTTTAAATAATTATATTATATAAATAAAAAGATATAAGTTTATTTTTTGTCTATATTAATAAATGACAAAAAAAATGAAAAAATATATATATTTTTACAAATATATGAAATATTAAAAAAAAAAATTCATTTTTAATAAAAGTTTGAAGCATGGTGGTCTTCCATGTCGTGCGTGACATCCGGTTCCGCACCACGTTTCGTCGTAGACGGACAGGCGCCGATGAGACAATGCTTGCATCCAGAGGCATGTAACAAAGACATCGACGTGCCAGAACATTATACTCTCTTTCATGATCTTCGAAAGGAATTTGTTGCCTGTTATTCAACCCATGGAGAACTTTCAACATTTGGAATACAAGAAATGTTGGAATGTATCCTTTTTTAAATTTTATTAAATATTGATTTTTATATCATTTTTATATAGAATGTTTTGCTTATCTTTATCTGAAGTCTTGAATTTCATAAAAATATTTTCTTAAAAAATTGTATAAAATTAAAATAATTAAAAATAATTTGTATAAAATTATATATTTTATGATTATTATATATATTATTTTTCACTTATATATGATAATAATATATATAATAATATTTTATTTTATTAGAAAGAGTTTATTAAATAATTTAATAAACTTTTTTAAATGAAACGTTGTACTTTATTTCTTTGTATACAATAACCATTTTGAAAACAATTTCAATATCATGTAATTTTTAATTGTTCAAAATCAGTAAAATTTATATAAATAAAATTTCTATTAATACAGTAAAGTAATATTCTGTTTAATTTTGATCTATTCTTGAGAATATTTCATATTTGTCATTATACTTTAAATGTCACATGCATATTTAAATATGTTAAACAATTGATTATATTTGAATTGATTATATTTGTTATCATGATGATATTCATGTTAATATTTTGCCTATATTTTATAAAAACTGAGAAAAAAGAAAGAGAAACAAAATTATGTTGATATCAATAAAATGTTTTCAAAACTTGAAAATTAAATAAAGTATTCACAAGGGACTTTAAACAACTTGAAAAATTTAAGTTTACAAATCGAATTTCGAATTTCAAGATATTTCAAATGATAAATTTAGGCAAAGCATATTATATATTTACTATAATCATTTAATAGTATATGTTTACTTGTATACGTATACTTCTCAGCGTGCCTTGCATAAACAGATATAGGATATCAAGTTACTCCCTCTTTCGAAGTTGACATGAAATATTTTAATTTTTGGATATTTAAAAAAGCACTCAAAAAAAAAAACGAAAAAAAAAATAATACCATATTAAAATTTAAATGTTATAAATATTTTGATGATATTTTACTCATAGTTAATTATTAAACTCGATTGGTCGTCATGAGAACAATTCGTTGTTCAAAGTTGAAAATTTAGTTTTCGATATCATATGATTGCCTTAAGGCGACGACTATGGTCGAAACGAGAATTCCAAAGCGTGCAGCCGTTAGGCGGCGCGACAGAAGTCGAATCCAACATATTCGATGAACTTGACGACGAACTAACCGCTGATGCAAAGTCAGTCCGCAAGTGAGTGGAGGGTGTATACGTATCGTGTTAACTGCGTTCCTACCGGTCAGCATATATGTATACGATTATAATAAATTATAATTCAATTTCTTAACTATATCTCTTGGTTTAATTTTCGCAAAATAGATTTTTTTAAATTACATGTGAAAGTGTATAATTATATTTATTGCTTCAATCTATGTATTGTAAAAGTGTATTGTAAAAGTGAAAACTTTTTTGATAATAGGCATAATTTACTAAAATATAAATTAAAATTTAAACTTAAGGTATGTTTTTTATTCTTAGCATGTAATATTCGTTGAAGCATAGTTTTGTTTATAAACTTGTAGAAAATCATTTGATTTTACATATATTACTTATTTTTTATTTGATGGCAGTTATAATTTAACATGCATTTCTTTTTTTATAAGGTAATATAAAAATTGTAATTATAAAAATTGTATAGAGAATATTTTCTATTATTTTTCGATATATCACTTGTATTTTTATATTTGTTTGAATATGTATGAATAATATAATAGTCAATTATACATTTAGAATATATTTTATATATTTTTTTTATATTTGGAATTAAAATTAAAAATTCACTTTTGCATCTGAGTGTATATCAGATTAACTTCTTTCTTTATTCTGATTTCTTCTATTTATATGAAAATTATAGACATTTGTAGATGAGATTTAATTCAAAAAAGAAAACGTTCTTAATACAAATGAGTACCTATCATAAATCTAATCCAATCTCGCTATTAAACACGAGTAAAGACTATAGTATTATAATCATTTCACGACACTATCTGATCGTGTTGTGTGTCGATGTGTCTGTCGTTAATAAAACAGAACCACCTGTGGCTAACGAGATACAATATACACAAATATCGATCGATGTCAGTGTCATATCACAATCAATCGACTTTTTTTTGATTTGTTTTTATCTATTCCAATTGAAAATTTCTTAAAATATTTCAATTAAAAATAACGGTTATATAAATTTATGATTCAGAAATATTTTATAATTATTTGGATCATCTTAATCTTTTATTTATCTGGTATTTCATCTTCGTATAAATCCTTGATAAATAAATTAAAAATAATATTTTTTTATTTTAAAAAATTTTATTAAAATTATGGTTGTTTATATTTTTTGTTTGTACTTTGAATTTGATATCAATTTTTTCAAATGAGAGATGAAAAGCGACAGAAACAGATGAAATCAAAATGTACTGCCAATATCAATCGAATGACTTAAGAAAGTCCCAAGAAGTAATCATCACAGTCTTATCACGCGCAGAAACACAGTTTAAAGGTCATGCTCGTAGAGATATTGCTAACAGCCTGACGACCAACTGAGATATGTGGATAATTATGCGCGTAACAAGTTCGTTCGATTTCTCGACATTTTAGTTACCCATGTTTTTTGCATAGTCATGTCTATTCTTTGTGAAATATTATAAATTTATATTGATATTCTGATTTAAAAAAATTTTATTTTTATAAAAATAATACTGTAATTTTTATCAGTATATCATAATTTTAATTAATCTATATCATTTTAACAAAAAAGATTGAAATTAATTATCATTTTATGATTAATTTATAATTTTTTTGATGATAGTATGTTTAATAATGTTTGTATATAATACTTATCTCTATTATATCTATTATAAGTAATACTTATCTCAATACATTTTTAATGCTTATATAAAAGAATCGATTATTGAAATCTTCATTTTGATATCAATATCGATAAACAATTTATGTTATTAAATTAAAACTGATGATTTATCCTTGACTGATGAAAATTAGATTTCGGTCTACCATTAGATACTGAGAATGATTATCATGTAAAAGAAATACAAGATATGATCTGTGTAATACAGAGAATGATAAAAGATGGTAAGTCGTTGATTAGTAAATTTTTATACATTTTTCAAGTTTGAGTGTAATGTGAAAAACATGAAGAAAAAAAGAAAAGAAAAGAAAATAAAAAAAAGAAAAAATATATTTATTTTTTCCATTATTATATATGATATAAATTTTTTCTCTTTTTTTAATTAATGTGTCAGTTTAGCATATTAAAAAAAAGTAGTCTATTTCTTAACAAAGATTAAGGTTCACATATGATATCTCTATCTTTCTTGAAGTACGAGCAAAAAACATATATTTTGTATTGCTCGCACTCAGTAAACATACTTGAATATTTAATCATAATCGTTTTTGATTGATTGATTTTTGATTGTACTGTACTGTAATTAAGAACTACATATAGATTTATAAATTAATGCCATTCTATTCTCAACTCCATGTAACTGAATTTCAATTAGTTTGTGACTAAATCTTTGAATCTATTTTTTTTATCATTAATAATGAATTATTCAAGAATATTTTTCAAAAAATTAAAAGTTCCTTTTATGATATGAGATATAATACAAAAAACATTTTTGATATCTTAATTTAAAAAAAAAATAATGAAATTTAAAAAAAAATTTTTTATATATTTATAATTATCGTAATAGTAGAACAAAATGTTAAATTAAATGTAATTTCGCAATGTATAAATTATTATGAATTTAAAATTCTTTCATTCGTAAACATATTAACTTTTTATTGGATATTCATATTATAAATATAAGTTTCTATATACAATATTCATCTTTAGTTTCCAATTTTACTTAGTTATGCTTGCTTTGCTTAAATGAAAAAATGCCGACAGAAAAAACATGAAGACAAAAAAAAAGAATAAAAGAATAGAACGAATAGTGTTGTATATATTTCAGATCTATATATTAGTTTCTTATGTGTGTTCATAGTTTATGAGTGCAGGTCAAGCTATGTAACGTTATGAGCAGTGACAGTCATAATATACTTCTTATCACAATGGTGCTCAACTCAAACTGACTTTAATTTTCAATTTCGTACTTACATATCACGTGCTAACTATGACAAGTGCGTGCGCGCATTTTATAAGCAAAGAGTTATTATTTGTTTTAAGACACGAATGCACGTTTATTTTATAAGTATTTAATATTTGTTGTATTTAATTTTGCAAAATTTTTATATACATGAATATCTATTGTGTCATTTGCAAATATCAAATAAAATTTTCTTTCTTCATATATGATATATAAATATTTTTATAAAAGAGAATTTTAAAAATGATGATGAAAGGAAAGTTTCAATTCATGAAATATAAAAAGTTTTTAAAAGATGTGCTGACATATTACATTGAGTAGGCAAATCAAAACTAAGCATTTTGCTCAAACTTGAGAAATCGGAGATAAACCTGCCGGTGTATGATTACAAAGAAAATGCGAGTGTTAAATGGTAATTTTGAAACAATGATTATATTTTTTTTGCGGGAGAATTAATTTTTTTGTTTATAATAAGATTTATATTAAAAACATTTTGTTACATACAATATTGAAATTTATCACATTTATATTTTAATTTCATCGAATATAATATTTTTTAAACAAATATTTTAATGAATAATATTTTAATAATTGATAATTATTTTTTGGATCCAAGTGAGTCATTGCAATTATGGCATAACTAACTAAGGTTAATCGCTATTTTGTTCTTTTTGTATTTTATTATTATAAATTTTATCAAAATGTTATCAATCATTTATTTCAATATTCATTTCAATATTTTATTTTATTGTTTTTATTATTTTATTTTATTATTTTATTATTTTATTGTTTTTACTTATTTTTTTTATAGGTCACATCTTCCAAAATCCTGAAACAGTTAATATTATTTTAGAACCTGGTATATGGTAAGTTCTCATTGAATTTTGATTTGTTATTAATTAAATTTATTTTATTAATTTTATGATATTTTTTTATAGCTCAAAAGATGAAGAAGTTGATAATGGTTGTGTAGTAAGAGCTAGAGGTCTTCCTTGGCAATCATCTGATCAAGATATAGCAAAATTTTTTCGTGGCTTAAATGTTGCTAAGTAAGTGAAATTTATAAATTTTAATTTTAAGATTGAAATTTAATACAATACATTGTAATAATTGCTGTGGTATTTGTATACAAGCCACTTGGAATGGTATAAAAAAGGTAAAAATTTATATCCAATTTATAAATAGATTTATGGATGAATATATATTACTCAAATTGTAATGTTTATTTTATATATATTAAATTTATAAGAATAACAATTTATATATAAGATTTTTAGAACAACAATTTAAAATATTTTTTAATATTTATCTTTTGGTTATGCAATGATAAGTATTATCTTGGGTCATGAATCTTGTGAATTATTTATATAGTTCTCTAATGATTTTCAAGAATTATAATTCCGATATATATAATTTCTATATTTATTTTATCTATATCTTCATTATTCTTTATTTATTTTTTACTATTTCTTATATTATTATCTATAAAATTTTAATTAGTACATTGATTTGTATTACAAAATATCATTATTTCACAGGGGTGGTGTAGCTCTGTGTTTAAGTCCTATGGGAAGACGTAACGGGGAAGCATTAGTACGATTTGTTAACAAAGAACATAGAGACATGGCATTAAAAAGGCATAAACATCATATGGGTGGAAGATATATAGAAGTCTATAAGGCATCTGGAGAGGATTTTGTTGGTGTAGCTGGTGGAACTAGTGGTGAAGCTCATGCATTTTTATCTAGAGGAGCTCAAGTTATTGTTAGAATGAGAGGCTTACCATATGATTGCATTGCTAAACAAGTGGTATATATATAAAATTTTCTATACATTTCTTCATGATTTTTATTCTCATTTTAACTATACATTATTTTTCAGTTGGACTTCTTTTTATCAGGGCAAAAGCCTTGTCATGTATTGGATGGAGAAGATGGTGTTTTATTTGTGAAAAAGCCAGATGGTAGGGCAACTGGAGATGCATTCGTTCTTTTTGCAAAAGAGGAAGATGCTATGAAAGCCTTAAGTAAACACAGAGATTGTATCGGAAGTCGATACATTGAACTTTTTCGAAGTACGATTGCTGAAGTTCAACAAGTACGTAAATAATGAGAGTAACAAAATAAAAAAAAGAACTAAATAAAAACTAAAAATAAATATTATATATATGCATATTAATTTTGATTAGGTTTTAAATAGGGCAATAGATCCTAAACAAGTTGTACTTCCAACACCACCTATTCCACAGCTCCCTCCTATAGTTCCACAGCATATTATCACTTCTGGTACGCGTAAGGATTGTGTTAGATTGCGTGGTCTTCCATATGAAGCTCTCGTTGAACACATTCTTGAGTTCATGGGCGAACATTCTAAGAATATTGTTTATCAGGGTGTACATATGGTTTATAATGCTCAAGTACGTACATGTATTTCTTCTATATCATAATCATATTTATATATAAATTATTAATATATATTTTGTTTGTTGTTTATTCAGGGTCAACCTTCCGGTGAAGCGTTTATTCAAATGGACAGTGAAAGTTCAGCATATGCATGTGCATCGCAGCGACATCATCGTTATATGATATATGGCAAAAAGCAACGGTATATCGAAGTATTTCAGTGCAGCGGGGACGATATGAATTTGGTATTGACAGGTGCAGTAACTCCACCATCAACCAAGGCTCTACTATCACCCGGTACGTTGACCACACAAACTCCCGCAACTTTGACACATCCGCCTCCGCCGACGCCGGTACCGGTACCGGTACCGACGGCACAACCTCCCCTCTGGGACATTCACGCGTTAGTACAGGCTCAAGCCCAAGCACAAGCGCAGGCTCAAGCGCAAGCTCAAGCTCAGGCTCAAGCGCAGGCAATTCGAAATCAAGACTTTTGGTTAATGGCTCTAGCCTCAAATCCTCCTCCCACATCTACAACTCCTGCTTCCCCTACTTCATCAGCTACGACTAAAACACTTGCTCTACCGGGTCCGAATCCACAGCATCAGATTCCTGCCTATGCCGTGGCACCTTCAGCAGCAGCTGCAGCCGCTGCGGCTGCTGCAGCGCTTCATGCTCAACCACCCGCGCCAACACCTTTCTTACTCTTTAATGTACCCTCTCGAATTCCTATTTTACGGGCACCGGCACCGCATAGTCTTCTGACACCTATTGTTCAGGCTGCCCCTATTAATCCGGCTGCCATAATGGGACTAAAGAGAACTTGGGAAACTGCATTTCCACCTGATACATCAAGCACCGTCGCGAAACGTGCTACATGGCACACACCGGCGACTGCATTTCACGCGCAAGCTCCAGCTGCGGCACCAGGCTTGCCTTATCCTGCTCAATTTTATCCTCAAATTTAAAATATTGTTAAAATATTGATTATGATCGTACATTGTGTGGCCGATATGTCTTCTTTTATAATGAATCTTTTTTCTATGTATTTTTTTATGCCATTGTAAGTAGATTTTGAAAAACGTTCAATAATCATTCGTTCCTTCATACATTTCTCGTAGCTGTTGCAACAGAAGGTTGTGATTTTGAGACATTTATTTCTTTATACGACGTATAGACAAACTTATTTTAATTGCATCATTAATGTGTGAAAGTGTGTTAAAATGGATGATTTATATTCTTCTACGAATATATATGGTAAATTTTGTTCATGATAATTATTTACAAGCGACATTCCGCATGATATTTTGTGCAACCACTTTTTTTCGTATCAGTACATTAATACGGTGACTGTTATTTTTATTAGCTCATTTTCTCTTAAATCTTTTTCCTTAGAGAATATATACGTTACATATATAATCATTTCAGAGTTGGTATTTTATACTTAATTGTGCAACAGTACTTAGAATGATTTTCTTTTTATGTTACTTTCTTATGTAACATAAGTTTTTTGACTGTCACGTTGCATTCGAAAGAATATATATATCATTGGAACGTGATCGTGTATTCCTTTTTTTTTTTTTTTTTTTTTTTTTTTTTTTTTTTTTTTTTTTTTTTTTTTTTTTTTGTTAAACAAGTTCTTATATGTTACAAGAGCAATTATTTTGTATTTTAGTGTATAATGTGTGCAGTGTAAAGTGCCTTATTACAAATTAAGAATTCTTCGATCTAAGATATTTTCTTATTTTCTTGAAGATTTCGTGATTTATATACGCATGTAAATATATATATATACATATAGATTTATATAAATATAAAAATCGAAATATGAATATAAACATATAAATATATATATATATATACGAATGATTTATATATTTTGCTAAAAATATTTTTATTAGCGATAAGTAAATGGACATTCCATCCAATGTTATCAATTTTTTAAACTCCAATTTATGGAGTAGCACCTTCTTTACGCGGCATCTACTTTACGCACGTCTAATAAAAAAATTTTTTAAAAAAGGAAAGAGCCTGCAATTATGTTGTAGTTTCATATTAGGACAATATTCAATTGCAATTGCAAAGCGCGAGAGAGAGCTTTCTGAGCCAATTCTATGTAATTGATCAAAATCCCACGACAGGATTTACAAATCTATTTCTAGCCCTCGCTATACATAAGAGAATTTGCTTTTCCCTGTGCCGCGTAGAAAACACTTTGAGTTCGATACAGGAAAACCAATTGAAGCAATATATATTTTGACACATTTTACGCGACTGATAATCCTAGTAGTGCAAGTATATTTATTGATCAAATTAGTGTAATGAGGTGAATTTGGTGAACGATATATAAAGCACAAAGAAAAATGAATTAAATTATATAAATTATGATTCATTATTTATTAAATAATGAATATTAATATTACAGACATCATAGATATTCCTCTTAATCATAAAATATTTTTCTTTTTTTTTTTTTTAACTTTTTTTTAAATGTTTTTTCTTCAACTTTTTTTTTATATATTTATTATGATAAAATTCATATAAGATTTATATCTCATAGTTCGAGAATTGCTCAAAATATGACATATGTTATAAGATGATGATAATGCCGTCAAAAAAAATATAAGATTAATGCTTAAATATTATTTTGCACGATAATTTAATTCTTTAAATAAATATTTTTTATAAAAAATAATAACAAAATAAGAAGAAGAAGTGAAATCGTGCTATATTTAAACATTTTAGCTTGTGGTTTTAACTTGGTGTCGGCGGCATTTGTTTTCTTGATACTTTTTTATATTTTTGTGAATTGTAGAAAAATTGGAGGAAAAAATATACTTAACGAGAAGTGTACGTGGAAAATTTATATTTCGCAGAATAAATGACAATGAATTAATGTTTTTTATTAATTGCCGTTGCTTAGGAAAGAACTATTTTTTCAAAATAGTCTACATAATCACGAAACTCGTTCAGCCTTTCATTCTTCATTATTATTCTTAGTTGTTTGGTTTTTCTGTGCGCTCAATCTCAGTGTTTCCGCGGAGCAGCGTGAAGTGCTGTTCAATAATTATGCAATTTTTTCTTGCCAAATTTTCTCGTTTTTTTCTTTTCTCTTTCTCTTTTTGTTTCTTTTTCTCTTTAGATATTTAAATATATATATATTAAATAAATATAAATATGTAAAATGCGATTTAAAGAATGGAATTTTCAAATCATAAGAATAGCATGAAATGCATTCAATCGCAATGATCGTTCTTATTACTCCAAAGTATAAAGTCCATGGGCATAGAAATGAT